GGGTCTCAGGAGGAAGATGAAGAGATCCTTTATTTGTCCCACAGTGGGGAAATTTCAGTGTTGCATCACAAGTTATAGAACAGAGAGCACACAGCACAAGATAAGAGAACAATAGCTATGTAATGAAATAAAACCAAATTTAATAATTATAGATAATAATAAAAAAGAAGTATGAAAGTTTTACATTTGACAAAATAAGAGGCAAGTATAACGTACTGTGTATTCTAGTGCAAGCAAAGTGTAGTTATATTTTAGCATCTGTACATTAGCAGCAGTGTGTTTACATCCGTACATTAGCAGCAGTATGTTTACATCTGTACATTAGCAGCAGTATGTTTACATCCGCACATTAGCAGCAGTGTGTTTACATCTGTACATTAGCAGCAGTATGTTTACATCTGTACATTAGCAGCAGTATGTTTACATCTGTACATTAGCAGCAGTATGTTTACATCTGTACATAATAAACAATAACAAAGAATACGGCATGTTCAAATGTGGCCTGAGCCTTAGTCACTACAACATAATAATCTGGGAAATAGACAGGGCCCCTCCGTCAGTGGAAAGTTTTTGGGTGCCCACAGACTCTTGACATGTTGTGATGTGACACAAATATGAGAGCAGTGCCTGCATTTACACTGGTGCTGGTGCGAAGGACGAACCCTCAAACACCATAAACATTATGGATATCAATATTGATGCTGCTGTGGCACAGGCGTGTTCCTGAAGGTGACAGAACAGACTGATTGGTAGAAAGTTTACTAATGTCATTATTGAATTTGTAGAATATAAAGAGTCCAGAAAATCCCAAATTATAAGTAGGAATATTAAAAAAACATTTTCAAGTCATCACCCATCCTCTTTTCAAATACTTTTTTAACTGATAAAAGTAGTTCAGCCGAGATTCAAATCTCTAAATTAGTTTTACAGCCTCTAAATCTTGTCATTGCTTTCATTTCAATGTCCTGCCCTCCACCGTTTTACCAATCTGAAAGTCCCTGATCCGGGTTGCCATAACTCACCGCGTCAAGCTAATCTCACATTATTGACAAAACAAGTAATAAAACAAGGATTTGTGATTTGTTGTTGACAAAACTCTTGTCTATTCAGTCATTGTTATTATGGTTCCAGCTCAAGCCCCGGCGATCCAAGATGGCGCCCTTTTCAAATGAATGGTTGCCATGGATGTATTATATTAACTGGATAGGGTATTACTAGCTTGTAGCTGAATAACTCACGTGCTCAGGGGATTCTCGCGGTACTGCAGACTGAACCAGGCTAAATTCACGTGGGCTACCCAGAAATTTTCCCCATAGAACTCAATGCATATTAAAACAGCTCAACCTCAGCTGACAGAGAACCTACAGCTTTAATAAAGATCGGATTTTGTGGGGATTTTAGTGTCCCTTGTCATCCTGAACTTTTTTTCTTCTTAAATCCTTCGGTTTTGTTTAAATCCACACTTTAGTGCCACAAACTCTGCTCCTCTGGCTCTCGCTCTAACTCCCGCTCTGATGAACTGCTCTGATTGGTCAGAGCGCGGCCGAGCCCCTCTGTGCACGTGCGTGAGACCCGGTGTGAGACCCACACACGCGTGTTTGGCGCAACGCATTATGGGAGATCATCCACTGCGCAGAACCGGGAGGACCAGACGATGCCCAAATACAGGCGAGTTTCCCATAGATCTTTGCGAGTTTCAGGCAACTTCCGGCTAATCTTTCAGCCCCCATGCTGTCACAAAGCGCCACTGAGCACAACCATTCATTTGAATAGGGCGCCATCTTGGATCGCCGGGGCTTGATGGTTGCGCTCAGTGGCGCTTTGTGACGGCATGGGGGCTGAAAGATTAGCGGAAGTCGCCTGGAACTCGCAAAGATCTATGGGAAACTCGCCTGTATTTGGGCATCGTCTGGTCCTCCCGGTTCTACGCAGTGGATGATCTCCCATAATGCGTTGCGCCAAACACGCGTGTGTGGGTCTCACACCGGGTCTCACGCACGTGCACAGAGGGGCTCGGCCGCGCTCTGACCAATCAGAGCAGTTCATCAGAGCGGGAGTTAGAGCGAGAGCCAGACGAGCAGAGTTTGTGGCACTAAAGTGTGGATTTAAACAAAACCGAAGGATTTAAGAAGAAAAAAAGTTCAGGATGACAAGGGACACTAAAATCCCCACAAAATCCGATCTTTATTAAAGCTGTAGGTTCTCTGTCAGCTGAGGTCGAGCTGTTTTAATATGCATTGAGTTCTATGGGGAAAATTTCTGAGTAGCCCACGTGAATTTAGTCTGGTTCAGTCTGCAGTACCGCGAGAATCCCCTGAGCACGTGGGTTATTCAGCTACAAGCTAGTAATACCCTATCCAGTTAATATAATACATCCATGTTCCAGCTAGATTCGTCTGCATATCTGGCAACCTGAGTCAGGGGTGGGAGCGGTTGCAGTACCGCTTCTGACCAGATTTTCTACATACTGACCCTTTAAGAAAAGAAATGTTGTAGATGGGTTACAATAATTTAGGTTTTGTTCAAGATATCCTTTGTGTGTATCCATAGATCTCACATAGTAAACTTTCTGGCTTTTTTAGTGGGCTGAATATTGAGAACAGTAATATTGTGACTAAAAGTACACATACGGGTACTTCGATGACCAGCTGCACATGACATCTTTCCATTTGCAAATAGAGTTGCGACCTCTTCTGGTTAGAAACAAATACACAAGTACCTTTCCCCCAGTTTTGAATCATATATGTTTGCAATACAAACAAACTCTCATAGGAACATTCAATTATATTTAATAGTATAATAGTAAAATGGCTTTGAGGTTTCCTGGAAATGTAAGGTGCAACAAATATTTGTTATTATTAACGCATGATAGTAATAGTAGTAAAACTGTATGTTTAGTGATATTTACAAACCTTAAGATTTACTCTCAATATTTAGCAAAGAAAATTATTTTTCTCTGTACTGAGATTGTTACCACTGAAAAAGCAATTCATCACAGGCCAAAGCTACAGGGCCTCAGCTTCAGCTTGGGCCTTGTAGTGGAAGTATTGAAGTATTGAAGTAGTGGAAAAGCAGCAAATATAGTCCAGCCTTTTATTTGTTCTTCAAAAGGTTCTCAAACACGTTCCTTTTGAATATCTACAGATTTCAGACTGGTGTTTGGAGAAAAGAGGCCGGAAGTGAACAGGATTTACAGATGTAGTTTTATTGCATACTTCTTTCAACAGAGACTCCTGTTTGTTGTGACTGTGTCAAACCAAACTGCAGTTCATTGGGACAACTCCCCTTCCCTGAGGGCCCCACGGCTGTAAAAGAAACAACAGGGTATTGTGAAGGTGTGAGGAGTCTCCATGGTTTAAAAAGAGCACGTTTAGGAGAGTATGGGTTTATGTAAAGGTGACGTATGCACACCGGGAGGCTTTAACCAGGCAATTGTTTTCTCTTTATTCTTCAATTATTGTTTCTTTCTATTCTCTTTTGTCACCGGCACAAAATGAACGAATAAATACATGAAGTTATGCATTAGGGACAAGGAAAGGTTCATCTGATGATTTTTCCATGGATCTATTATAAGGTTGTTTCCCTTGTACACGATCGTAATTTAAAAAAAAACAGATAAAACAGATTTTCTTTATTTAATTAAAACAAAAACCCTTAATTTTACAGTATATGTTTATGACAAGCTCAATAATGAAAAACAAGTCCACAGCAGAACAATGCTGCACTGCAAAAAGTCAAAAATTGCTCAAATTTGGCAAAGTGTATCTTAATTTGCGCACATTTTAGATTTAAAACATCATGGGAGAAGCAAAATGAGCTTGTTTCAAAAAGAAACAAGAAATGACTCCCTTGGAATGTGAAAATAAAGCAACAGTTTTGAAATATGACTAAATGTCTTGTCTCATTGACAGATCTTGTTTTAGGACAGTCAGAATACACGCCATAAAAAAACAACACTTGATTCAAGCAATTATTACCTCATAAATGATAATTTTTACGTCGAGAGGAACTAGTTGAGGTGGCTCGGGGCATCTGTTCCGGATGCCTTCTGGACGCCTCCCTGGGGAGGTGTTCCGGGCACGTCCCACCAGGAGGAGACCCCGGGGAAGACCCAGGACACGCTGGAGGGACTCTCAGCTGGCCTGGGAACGCCTTGGGGTTCCCCTGGATGAGCTGGAGGAAGTGTGCGTGGATAAGGAAGTCTGGGCGTCTCTGCTTAGACTGCTGCCCCCACAACCCGGCAACGGATGAAGCAGAAGAAAATGGATGGATGGATGGATGATCATTTTTAGCAGTGGTACAGTATAATGATGAACTTGAATCGGTTTTCTTAGTCTTTGTGAACAAACTCTGTGAACGACAACTATATCCAGTGTGACAGTGACAAATATATCACATTTAATGCAGCTATATATCTTGATATGCCTCACGTGTCGGTAAGAGCTGCTCTGAGTCAATAGAACATTCATTTGCAAATTGAATACAGAAAATCAACTTCACAGCATTAAACAAAGAGATACATACAACACAGGCACGGCTTGCAACGCAGATACTATCATTATCAATCCTTTACAAAAAAATAATGATTCATATCCCTCCTCTACATTGCAAAATGATTGAATGTATTTAGTGCATAGTTTTTGATTCACTAAACTGAATCCACACATTCATAGATGCAGAAATGATTTTAACAAAGACTATAATTTAAGCTCACCCAACGCCTATATCATATTTTGTTACCATCGAAATTTAAATAGACTCCTATATTGTAAACGTAATCCTGTCTGTTGCAGCATTGAAACTATGAGATGTGTTTAGCTTACATTTGAATCAAAAATAAATAGAAAGTAGTGTAGCTAAATTGTAGAATTTTGCATAGATTTGAACATGAAACATTTCAGTGTAGAGCGCCAGTGTAATTAATAATGTTTGAATACTGCAGTGGGCAGAGGTGAAAGGCATCCTTCTTCATGAGTGCACAGTCCACAATAGAATAAGGCCTATAGTTTCCTCTCTCCTGTGAGAATTCTCTGGTAGATAGTGTCTGTAAGAGGAATATAGCTCTCCAGTTTGTAGTCGATCACATGGAGAGGCACAGAGATGTTGGCCGGGTTGAAACCACTCTTCACCAGGTGGAACTTCTGCTGCTTGAATGTGCTGGTCATCTCCATCACCTCCTGTAACCAACTCAGCATTAGAACAAGACTTTCACCCTTTCATTTCAAAAGTTTGAGTTGTGGGACGCTCATTTGAAGCTAGTGCTGGTTTGAAGGCTACTGGATTGGAGTCAATTCATTATTTTGCTTTTACTTAACATTTGTCTACCAATTAGCGGCTGTCTTAACAAAAAACTGACAAACTCTTTTTTATGTTTTTATGAATGATTTTATGAATGATTTTATGAATGATTTTATGAATCATTTTATGTTGACGATCCGGGACATTTTTTAAAACATTGGTCATCCTGCTCCCTTTGGACCAATGGCTCCATTGTTTTATTGCATTTCTGTTTTCGAACATTTGGACACGTTTGATTCTCTGATCTGTTGTTGATTGAAAATTTTGTAAAGTCCTCTGAAACGACAGCTGTTAGGGCATACAAATAAATGAATAAATACATTTAATTGAATTAAATTAAATTGGGGGGCGACAGTAGCTCAGTTGGTAGAGCATTGGCCTTAAGCCCAGAAGGTCGTGGGTTCAATTCCCACCTCTGCACCTTCTCCACCGACTCCCACTGATGACTGCTGTCGTTGTGTCCTTGGGCAAGACACTTAACCCCACTTTGCCCAAAGCCCCCACTGAAAGATCAAGGCTATGCTCACACTCAGAGAGCAGCCGTCCTCCTGTGGACTCACCACCTGCAGAGGGTCAGTGAGGGGCTGGTGCTATGAGACTTGGGTGGCATCTCTGACTGCCACCCCCCTGACCCAGAAATGGATTAAAGGGAAGAAGATGGATGGATGGATGGCTTATTCACACAATAATGGATATCTTTGTTCTTGACATTTTGTAATTTTAAGTAATTTATTGGTGTCCTTAGGTGACATAAAAGAATATATTTATAACTATTATTATCAAAACAAAAACATTATGTTTGTGGTCATGATGTGACAATATGTGGGAAGGTTCATGGGACTTGAATACTGTTTATGTTTATACAGTGGCTTGAAAAAGTACTAATACGACTTGAACTGAAGAAGTTCATGCCTTTCTTCCTTTTCCTGTGAAATATAATTCCGGACAAGCAGGTGTAGTTTTTAGTTTCTTACTTGCAGTCGGATGAAGAGTGGTCGGGCGTAGGCAGGAAGATCTCTCACCACACAATCAAACAATTTCTCTCCATCAAAAGAGTGATCTGCTCGAACAATCACTGCTGCCATTCCTGCTCTGCCTTCATGGCCTGGAAGTAACAAAGTTACATGTTCTTTATCTTACAGCAAATAATATAAAACTAATTATTAATTTAGCACAGGTTTTAATGAAGGCTGTAATATGTTAATATGTTGTGGCTGCTACTCTCACCTGGTACTTCTACTCCGTACACATTGACTTCCTGAATAAAATCCACAAGGCCAAGAATTTCTGTTACTTCTGTTGTAGCAACATTCTCACCTTTCCACCTACATCACAAAAAACATGCAATCATTAAAAAAGCAGTGTTTATGTTGTATGCCACAGAATGGGAATCTCCATGTAGAGTTTATACAATTAAAATTATGTTTCCTGATGTATGCAATGACCACTAAGGGGCGCTATCCTTTTACATGTGGCGCCACCTACATAGGTTTGAGGGTCAAACGTGCACAATCATCATTTTAATGGCTCCCAAAATTATGTTCATTTATCATAACTAACATTCAAACATTGGTGAGCTACCACGGCAGGTTGTAGATCATGTCTTTTCTTTTTACTTTAAAGTCAGTTGCATCTGAGACCTTCCCTTTTTCCCTAAATCAAATATAATTGGGGTGGGACTAAATAGGTTCTTCTTTCCTCCTCCTTTCAGGAAGAATTAGATTATGTTTACATGCAGTTGCGGTGTATATTCCCTACTTCTCTACTTTGACTTGTTCGCACCGAGAGCCAAAGCCATTTCCTTGTCTGTGACTTCCTGTTACTTACATAAAACAAAAATGATTCTGATTCTGTATTGTCTATCTTGAACTTATCTGTGCCACTGTCTGAAATAAATGAATAAATGAAAAATGAATGAATGTTATGAATTCAACCCCCTGGAGAATGTAGAGGTTTATGTTTTATGTCATATGAGAGATTGGTATATATTGTGAGCAAGAGTTTTACCTAAATGTGTCTCCAACTCTGTCTCTAAAGCAAATAAAGCCCTCCTGATCCTCCGCCATCAGGTCCCCAGTGTTCACGTAGGCATCCCCTTTGACAAATACATCTCTCAGGATCTTCTTCTCTGTGAGCTGTTTGCTACCAGCGTACCCAAAGAAAGGGCTTAGGGCGCTGACTTTCGACAATAATAGTCCAGTTTCACCTGAAAATATGAAAAAACATACAATGGTACTGTATGGGTTTTGATTTGAGCAATTATGTGTTTCCATAAGTTCTCACCATGTTTCACTCGTTTGCAAAAGCCGCGGTTATCCTTCTCTGGCTCATCTCGAACCATATCATACTTGACCAGATCATATTTGAAGAGGAGCTGTAAAAACACACACAACATAAGTGTGAGTTTTCTCAAAGATTGTAATCACAAAAACTAAACTGATGTGTTTTCTTATTATTGATTCACTTAAAATGCATATGACAGTAGCATCTTTTTCCGGTCAAATGACACTTGTTTGAAAAAATGATGAGATTAAAATAATAATGAGATTGTCTATGTCATTTCCTGTTTCTGAATGTGAAATAATACTAATAAGTCAAAAATATGTGGTAAATAAATGCTTTCTGCGGCAGCTCCCTGTGCTACCACCAGAGGGAGCAGTTCTTTCCAAATAAAACATATTCTAGCTGCAAACACATGCATTTCTAAGCCTGAAAAATTACCTAAATTAATTTATGGGAAATACTTTTGTTTTGAATGGCTGAAAACTGTACTCAGAGTAGTCATTTAAACTGAAGGGGTGGAGTATTTTGGGCACAGAAGTTCTTGATATTATCGTGGCTGGATCAAAAAACAACTCTGTTTTTGATGGTGTAATATGGTTATAAGAGTTTTGAATAATACGTCTCCTTTGATTTTATATAATAATTTTACACTGATAAAGCCGCAGCTTGTGAATAAAATGTTAATAAAGGGCAGCGTTCTACTGATGACATCACGTGTGGGAGATGCACAGTTCATCTTCAAATTTGGAAGAATTGACTATGAACTAATCGTTTTGACTGAAATCAAAGTGTATTCTTGTAATGTAGTTCATCAACATTTCTTCTTGGTAAGCAACAAACCTCTGCTCATGTCATAACTGATAATCAGGAAGTGAAACACTAAATTGTCATACAGTATGGTCTTTGATCTGGAACATCTCACTCAAGGACATGGTTTGATTGTTTGGAACAAAATCAAGAAACAAATCCTATAAGTAAACTTTTATAACATTGTTTTGTAATTGCATATGTAAGCGTGTGCCTATAATAGCTGGGGTCGTAGATTAGAGTAAAGTCCTGTGGCCACAGTGACTCAGGAGCTGCTTAACAACGGCTCTGCAGACAAGGATTAAAGAGGATAATACGCTGCAGAAGCTACTGCCGCATCATCCCACTTAACAAAGTGTCAGTCTGCTCCCAGCGCGTTCATACACAATCACAATTATGATTATGAAAACATCTCTTCTGAGGGTTGAGGACCTCCATGATTGATTGTGGTTTTTTAATCAGTGTACAATATTCTGTGACAGACAAAGTGATTGTTTCATAGGAAAAGAACCTCTTTCTTGTCAATAAAGTGTGAACCTGTTTATTAGTCCTTCTCTTTCTGAAATTTCAAAAGTATATCAGTATTATAGGGTGAAGCAACCTGCACTACTAATAGCTTCTCCAGTGTTACTCAATGAAACAGCTTGAGCTTTTTATATCCTTCTGGAGAGGTACAGCTGCTGAGACTGATTTCAGATTCATCTGGAACCATGATAATAAACACCATCAGTGAGCAAGACGTACGGAAGGGGAATGATATGTACAGCTCAGTGGGGAATAGCTGTGGCATTACGTGAAAACAACATGAACAAACCAGAGTTGACTTTTTCTGGTGGAGTTTTTCATAGTTTAAAATAAAAAAGAACATAATGTTCACAACATTTAAGTTTAAGGTTTTCAAGCAGATTATCTAATCAGAGTCAAATAAGGCTTTTTCCTCTTTTTTTCTGACAAAATTTACAAACATAAAGAAGCACCACAAATTTGTTTCAATGGAAGAAAACACAAAAACACATAGTCAAGTGATAAAAATACTTTGTACAGTTTTAGCTAAACCCCAGGAGGTGGTTTGCATCAGTAATGAGTGCTTATGAGCTACATGTGTCACACACAGTCAGATTTTAGCAACAGTTGGACTGTAGTTGGAATGACTTCATTGGACCACTAAGAGGACATATTACCTTTAATATTAAACCATGACTTATTATGTATGGGTGCATCATTCACCACACAGAGCGTTACCCTGTGACTGAGAACAACATTTTAAACTATAGTTTGGATGTTAGACTCACTTTGTAGATGAAATTGGATCGCCCCACAGTTCCAATCTTGCCAATGTGGTTCATAAAGCAAAGGTTTCCTTCTGTTGAACCGTACACCTCACACATTTTGATGTTTCCGAAGCGGTGGTGAAAGTCTCGCCACACATCTTGACGCAGTCCATTACCAACCCCCATCCGAACTTTGTGCACTTTGTCCAGCTCAGTCTGAGGAACATAAAGAATACTTGTTATACACAGGGAAGTCTGATCCAACATCAGGCCAAATGATGTTATCCCTTCACACGCCTCAAAGTTCCTCATCAGGCCAATGGTTTATGTCGTCTGTCTTCTAACTGTGTCCCAATAATAAGGTTCTCCATTATCTATCCTCTATCTAATTTTTTTCAAGCAAAAAATAAATCCTGTCCAAAAACACCCAGCTGAGAGGATCATGTTGCACTTTCTGATGAAAATTAACTCACAAAAATAAACTCACAAGAAATGTTGTTGCACAATTTAATCTCATGAGATGACACAAGATCCCGAGTGATTTCATCACCACTTTATGATTGGAAAGAGGAAATGAAAAAAACAAATTAACTTCAAATATGACATATGAATGTCCCTCATGCTGCAATGCACACATGTTGCATTTATCAATAAGTGGGGAGAGGGAGCCTCCCACACAGAGCTCCAGCAGATCTGTTGACAAAGAGAATCCAGTGCAGCTCAATGAGGACAGGCCGCACAGAGGACGTGTCTGTACTCAATCATGACCGAACACAACCTCTACACAAAAGAGCAGGTTGTCCGTTTTCCACATTTACTCCAACGTCACAGCAGCGCCACTCACAGAGCCTGTCTTTATTTATACACAACTCTTCAATGATTTTTCAGGGTCCAGACTTTCCAATTTCTCTGTGTTTGCTCAAGCTTTAAATGCATACATTGTAAAAACACATGATGTGAATGGAACTGTACCTTTGGCTGGTTGCAGAGATAACGACACAGTTCTCCGATGTACTGGAAGATCGTCACGTTGTATTTGCGACAGTCCGCCCAAAACTGTGACGCTGAGAATTTCTTTTTCAGGACACAAGTTGCACCTGTTCATGATATATGGTGGTTACTCTTCTGCATTCATTTACTGATTAATACACCACTGTACTATATAGTTTATTAGAATGATTCAAAAAACTCCCTGTGATTCTAAAATAAGAAAGCATAGCAGAGGGCGGTATCTAAATAAACAATACAACATTATTATAAAACAAATATGCATCCTTAAACTTGGAACAACTCTTTAAACAAATAGGTTTAGAGCAATTTTGTTAATTACAGTTGTACAAATAAAAGCATCACCAAAACTACGCAGCTGCTCGCCTGCTGACGTCTACAAAGCGTTTTGAACACATAACCCCTGAACTGGCACCACTGCACTGGTTTTTAAATGTCTTCATGGGCTGGCCCCGTTGTATTTGAATGAACTATTGTGTGTTCAGGATTCTGTAAGAACAACAAGGTCATCTTCTCAGTTGCTCCTTAAAGTTCCCAGATCCAATATGAAGAGTAGAGGGGATCGAGCCTTCTCTGTAGCCGGGCCCCGGCTTTGGAACAATCTACCACCGTGGGTCAGAGCCGCTGATTCACTTGTCAATTTTAAATCCCTTATTAAGACCCATTTCTTTTCACTGGCTTTTTAACATGCGTTGAGCTGAATCTCTCCTTCTATATTTCTGTTTATTGCCTTTTGCACATAATTGTTTTTATTATGTTTTTAGCCAATTGGCATTCTAAATGTGCTATATAATATAAAACTGACATTGACATTGACCAAATTAAATACATTTTTCAAACAAATCTTCCAATATTAACAACTCCCCATCACTCGTCAGTGTGTTTCGTAAATGGTTGACGTACATTTTTCGTCAGTTTTTGCTATTTCTCAGTGTTCTATTCAAGAGGACATGTCAATATTGAGACAGACGCAAACATTTTTGAAGTACACAAGTCACTGACCTACAATAAACTATGGTAAATCAATAGTCCATCATCACTGAATAAGTAAAAAATAGACAGTTTGTAAGAATCACAGTGACGGCAAGAGAAAGCAATAACTTGGCAACGGGTCCTAAGTAAAAATTACTTTTTAAGTACTTTTTAAAAAAACAAGATTTTCCAGTGGAACAAGCTGTTTACTCTTATTTGAAGGAATGTTGCTTTATTTTGTCTTTCTAAAGGAAACATTTGTTGCATCTTAATGAAATTTGCTTGTCCCATTGAAAAAACTTGTTTTAGGCAATGAAAAGGTGCTCAAATTAAGACACACTTTGCCAAATTTGAGCAATATTTCACTTAATCTTTCATCAATATTGCAGTGACGTGTGAGTGAAGGTCTAATTATTGTTAGGAGGTAAACAACTTCTAAGCTTGCGTCGATAAAGAGCAATGAACTGTTCAATTTCAATGAACTAGAATTACATAAGACAGGTCACTGAGGATGGGAGCAACAAACCCTCCGAACAAAGATAGTTTTCATAATGAGAGCTCACATCTAATTAGTGAAGTCAAGTGAAAGAAAACACAATGTCACGAGTCTGTTCAGCTCCTTTAGTGACAGTCAAATGCATGTAATTGGTCAAAGCACGTGGAGATTCTGGGATCACACATGTCCAGACCAAACTGTTTTTCCATCCTTTGGTAATAGTTCAAGTGGGAACATTGGGTCAACTTCATATTTAAATACTGCAGCCTTTATCTGGTTGAACTTTTGTGCGGTAAATTCTGAGTAGTTAAATCCCAGTGATTCTTAAGTGAGTGAGTTTAGGTTTGCTGTGGTTGTTTCTTAAAGTGGAACTCTAAATGAATTACAAATTTAAAGAATTGTATTAAACTGACCATAAATGTTGATATAAAATAAGTCATTTTATGAATTCTAATATTATGGGTAAGTCCTGCCTTCCCTTCTCTTAGCTATAGCTCAAAATCCACGGTGCCGTCCACTTTAATCAATCAAGTGATGCTAAGGGCTGTCAATCATCGGCGCTGATACTCATAGCTGCTCATACTCAGTTGTTTGTTTTTACAAAGCCTCCGAATCAAGCCTCTATTAGGCTCTGAAACTACATGACAACTGAACAAAGAATTCTGAACATCCGCGCTGAGTTATCCATTTATATACTGAACCTATATCCATAATCATTTATATACTGAACCTATATCCATAATCATTTATATACTGAACCTATATCCAGAATCATTTATATACTGAACCTATATCCATAATCATTTATATACTGAACCTATATCCATAATTAGATCCTCTGCAGATGTGTCCTATAATGTTTAATTAACGTTAATAGCTACTTCCGGGTTCACCGCGATCGCATTTTTGTGCATTAAAACATTATTTTTGTCATGAAAACGACAACAAATAATTCTGAAAACCTCCGTGCATGTGTATTAATAATGTATATGTATAATCTGTTCTCCGATTAACATTTAAATGTGTTGATTGATTGTTACAGAAACTTAGGCGTGGACCAATTAGAAAGGAAGAAGGAGGGAGCTTGGGTCGTTTTTTTCAAATGATGTACCTCTCTCTCTTTTTTCTGACAAACTCCAGACAATCACTTTAAAGCTAATTATGAAGGTTCTCTGGGACTTTAAGTGAAAGTGAAGAGAAATCTGCACCAAACCAGTTCAAGCAGAGAGAGCACGGCTTGGCCAATAGGAGTCAATCTAGAGGGAAGAGGGCAGGGCTATCCAAGACTTCAGGTGCAGGTGCGTTGGCTCCAGGGACTGTATTGTATATAGATGGACAATGCTAACTCGCTAACTCAATGAAGCCCAATAGGGAAGTGCTCATGGTAGAAGTTTTGCTCTAACTTGCTCTGGCTCCTATTGACTTACATTGAATAGTGAACTGGTTTGGCGCTTTCTATGATCCTGGAGTGATAATGTCTTTCTAACTCCAGATATGAGCCACATGAGATTAAATGTATTCATCCCAGTTGTCCTGATTATTTGAGACAATATTTTATACAATTTAGTTTTTCTTACAATTTAAGACATGCAAATCAATTATTTTTTGTTGTTCCTAGAATAAGAAAAGAAATAGGCAAATTTTCATTCCACCACAAAGCACCTTTTGACTGGAATAATCCTCCTGCCTCTATCCTCTCTATAACCTTTAATATGTATAAAAATGCCCTTTTGTCTTATCTACAAACACCTTGTAATTGTTTTTGAAATGTATGTTCTACAATGTCCTATTGACTAGCTGATTTTGTTCACTGTAGAGCTGTGCGAGTGTCTGTGTGTGAGTGTATGTTGTCGCTTGTATGAAAAGGTTTATGTTCAGTTATAATTTTTTTTGTTTTTTTTTGGTTATGAGCCTGTACTGCTGTTGCTGTCTTGTATTTTTACTTTCTTGTAATTCTTTCGAAGGACCCTCTTGAAAATCAGATGATGCATCTCAAGGGGTTTATCCTCTCAAATGAGTAAATAAATAAATGAGTAAATGAGGATTGACCATTTGGATGCCTTCATTCGCGGGGGAAACTTCGTCTCGCCTTAGCAACAATCTTAGCAACACGTTTGCCCCTGTAACAACTGTGGTCTAAACCAGGACTAAATCATTCAACTGTGGTCTAAACCAGGACTAAATCATTCAATCAACTTTTAATTGTTGAAACACAAAGCGCCTCACAACCCATATCACATCACGCATAAATCAGAATCATAAACATTCAAATCTACATGAAAATACTATTAAAAATCCATAGGGCATAAACTCCTGGTCTAAACCAGACCTAACCCTGGTCCTGTGGTCTAAACCAGACCTAACCCTGGTCCTGTGGTCTAAACCAGACCTAACCCTGGTCCTGTGGTCTAAACCAGACCTAACCCTGGTCCTGTGGTCTAAACCAGACCTAACCCTGGTCCTGTGGTCTAAACCAGACCTAACCCTGGTCCTGTGGTCTAAACCAGACCTAACCCTGGTCCTGTGGTCTAAACCAGACCTAACCCTGGTCCTGTGGTCTAAACCAGAAATAACCCTGGTTCTGTGGTCTAAACCAGACCTAACCCTGGTCCTGTGGTCTAAACCAGACCTAACCCTGGTCCTGTGGTCTAAACCAGAAATAACCCTGGTTCTGTGGTCTAAACCAGACCTAACCCTGGTCCTGTGGTCCAGACATAACCCTGGTCCTGTGGTCTAAACCAGACATAACCCTGGTCCTGTGGTCTAAACCAGAAATAACCCTGGTTCTGTGGTCTAAACCAGACCTAACCCTGGTCCTGTGGTCTAAACCAGACCTAACCCTGGTCCTGTGGTCTAAACCAGAAATAACCCTGGTTCTGTGGTCTAAACCAGACCTAACCCTGGTCCTGTGGTCTAAACCAGACATAACCCTGGTCATGTGGTCTAAACCAGACATAACCCTAGTCCTGTGGTCTAAACCAGACCTAACCCTGGTCCTGTGGTCTAAACCAGACATAACCCTGGTCCTGTGGTCTAAACCAGACATAACCCTGGTCCTGTGGTCTAAACCAGACATAACCCTGGTCCTGTGGTCTAAACCAGACATAACCCTGGCCCAGGGCAGAGATACTGTGTCCAGTCTGCTCCTGCGGTGACACTGAACTGAACCTTAACTCACTTCAGAGATAGATAACTCAGCTGTCCAGGTTATTGGTCACAAAATACTAACTCAGGTTACTTACCGAGCTCTATGGTTCCTCCAATACCGATGAGTGACGCAGCGCTGTGGTAGAGGGGCAGAGGGATGTATATGATATCGTCCTGAGTCCCCCCGAACGCCCAGAAGCCACCCGCTGCTTTGAGGCTCTGCAGGTGGCTGATCACGGCCGCCTTGGGAAGACCTATAACGAAAATCATGCTCAGTTTTCACTGGATTAAGACGGGGGAACCATGTACAAAACAAAAAATTGGAAAATGCTTGTGCTTTAAAATGGTCTTTTTCTGCCACTGGTATTGTAAAATGTATCACCACCAAAGTACAGAGAAAATAAAATGAAAGAACTATCTTCATTTGGTTGCAGCAATGACACCTGCCAACACATTCATTTATCAATCAATCAATGAGACACTTTATTCATCCCAAACAGAAATTAGGCCAACTAACTTGAATACAACACTACAATGGTTTTACCCTGTTTGGACTCATTCAGCAGTTGAGGAGTTTATTTCACACATGGGTTGGAACTTTAAGTGTGAATGTCTGATTAAAAAGAGATATTTGTGTGAGATCATATTAATTTAAAATGCATTCATCCTAAAAACGACAGTTATTCTTGTTGAAAAGTTAGCCTTGTTGAAATCACTGATATCTGACCAAACAGACCTTGGGGGTTGATAAACTACCTCACCCAAGAACAAACTCTCTTTAGTCAACAGATCTGCCTTTCTTTGGTCTTTTGTAGTCCCCTTAAGAGCAATTGATCTTAACTATTACAATAACAGCACACATGCGTGTGTTTCCATGCAAGTCCATAATGGAGAATAATAGCTTGGTGTATTATGATATACAGTACTTTCTGGACTATTAAGCACACTTGTGCACCGCATTGGCTTGATTTCAAAATTGTCATTTATGTCCACATATAGGCTTCCCTTGAATATAAGCTGCAGGTTTACATCCTGTAACACTGATGGAGCAAAATGAGTGGATGATAGACAACTATTTGAACAGGACACAAAATAATAAAGCACTCTGGTCATTCCAATCTATTGTGCAATAAATGTGCATCATAATAAGTCTATAAACTCTGCTCTGCTCTGGGGCGACAGTAGCTCAGTTGGTAGAGCATTGGCCTTAAGCCCAGAAGGTCGTGGGTTCAATTCCCACCTCTGCACCTTCTCCACCGACTCCCACTGATGACTGCTGTCGTTGTGTCCTTGGGCAAGACACTTAACCCCACTTTGCCCAAAGCCCCCACTGAAAGATCAAGGCTATGCTCACACTCAGAGAGCAGCCGTCCTCCTGCGGACTCACCACCTGCAGAGGGTCAGTGAGGGGCTGGTGCTATGAGACTTGGGTGGCATCTCTGACTGCCACCCCCCTGACCCAGAAATGGATTAAAGGGTAGAAAATGGATGGATGGATGGATGGAACTCTGCTCTGAACACAGGCCTAATCACATAAAAAAGTCCTATATATTTCCCAATAACTTCCCTGTACGGGCGCTCTGCCATTCACATAAAAACACCAGAATGTGTGCAACGTATTCAGCGTCACAGATGATAAAACTGTGTCCAGATCCATTCTTGAACCGCAGGGAGCGCTCTAACTAAATAAAAATGCATACATTGGCCACATCACTACACAGACTGCAGGGTTCAAGTAACTAGTGGCTCATAGTCCAGCATTTACTGTCTGAAGTTCTCATTTTATTTTGTAGTATACTTTTTTTTATGAGAACACCAGGAAAAAAGCGACCATTAAATGCAGAGCTATGATAAAAGAATAATCATAAGTAGCGATGACTATAAGCTGTAGCTTTAGTAGTAGTAGTAGTAATAGCAATGCTACTTTTTGCTATTATTATTGTTTAACTATTTTTACTTCTAATGTGTATGAATATTTGAACACACAGTAAGAAAGAACATGTGTACAAATACAAACATGAATTTAATCAGGTAAAAGGTACTCTGGAGAATTGCGACTAAGCGGGTCATAGACGCAGGTGGTTGAGACAAAGCGATCAAAACTGTCGCCTTGTCTACTTTAAATAAACACACTGCTGAGTGGGAAGTCCTGTTTTAAGTTATCTCTCGCCTGCAACACATACAGCAGACTCACCTGTTGTTCCAGACGTGAAGATGTACAAAGTTGGAGTTTTGATGTTGGTCGTCAAGGGTAATGCAGGCACTGGTTTGTCGGAAGCAGCATCAATTTTATCCAGTATTGTGTGAACTTGTGAGTGTTCAAAGCTGCTCTTCATGGCCCACACCTGAATGTTGTCCTCCAGCACAGTGGTCAAGAAGCCGTCCAATAGGTCGGCCACATCTATGGTGTACACATAGTAATAATAATTAGGAGTTTTCTGGTCTCTTTTAAAGCCTTAAAAGAGAACGCTCTGGTGGGCATTATGTGCAAAAAGAAAGGCTTTCCATGGGCTTTACTGCAGTATAAGGGCAAGTGTGGATGGGTAATGATGGTTTGGTAATAGATGGTGTTGACTAATTAGTGCTTATTAACTGGTGCTTATCCGGATGACCTAAGACATTACTCTTAAGTCAAAGAAAAACCAAAATGACTGCACTCCTATATTTTCGTAATGAATAGTTAATAAGCAAAAACAGATACGTGACATTACAATTTTGTCTTCACCAAGTAGTTTTGTGAGAAGCCAAATATATATATTTTAGTGCCATACAAATAAAGATTCTCCCATTTTTTTGACAAATTCTTTCATATCTACTGCCAATAACAAAACTTGTTGAAGATTGTAACAAGGGGAATACAGCTTTTTGACACATTTTCAAAACAGAGATATCTGTTTTTGCAAATGAACAAGTCTAAACAAAACAAATCCTGTATCATTAAGTAATTCTGACAGGATTACTATGAAAGTCTTGGAGTTTTGTGCATTCTCCTGCTGCTTTGGTTCTTCCCAGAAAAGTGTTTTAAAGCAGCATGTTGTTATCCTGTCACATGGTCACAGCAGAATGAATCTTATTAGCCTAAAAAATTTGATCAAACAGGGAGAACTGGTTGGATATCATAACAAAACTCAGTTCTTGGTTGACAACTATTGCAGCCCATAAACATGATGTGTACCTTCTTAATAACCTACATCAGTGACCACAAAAGGATTATTTCAAGTGCCAGCCTACCAGAGCAGCTCAACCCAGAAGCACATGGCACTCCTCTGGGTTAACAAGAGCCACGAGGATCAGTGCAAAGGGAAGCAACAGTTGCAGTCACTATGGATCACTCCCACATGACTACACGTAGTACTAGATTTTCTAAAATTATCTGCAGTCTGACATGTTTAGAGGTCACATACAGTTTACAATATGAATCCAACTGCATCCTATTTAATCAGACCAGTCGTTTGTAACACAGACATGAAATAGGTCTTGGTGCACTTGGATTTACCTGATCCCACAACCAGGGTTCTAGCTCCACAGCTGGTGAAGCAGTGCCTTAGTGATCTGGACTTGATGTTTGTATTGAGGAAGGCGACTGAACAACCAATTTTTGCCAAAGCGAACCACACGCACAAGAAGTCGGGCTCGTTATTCATAAGCACGGCCACACAGTCTCCTTTCCTCAGGTTGGTATTCTGAAGGAGTATGTGCGCGATCTTGTTGCTGCGCTGCTCTACGTCCCTGTAGGTGAACGCTTTCCCTTCGAAGATGACAAAAGGTTTGTTGGGGATGCGCTGCGCCTGGTGGATGAACTTATCCAACACCGTGCGCACCTCTGACCTCAACTTGGACACCTCCAGGTTCACTCCGTAGCGCATCACTTTGAGCAGGAAGAATAAGTCCTTCCAAAAGTACGGGAAACATATTCTTTGTAGAAGGTGAGCGCACACAACCCCGGCGACAGAGGCGGACAACCAGCCCACGGACAGAAGCATCCTGCGTCTAGCGGACTGCGAAGGGCGCCTCTCGCTGTTACATGTTGAGCTGATATAAACCATGGATGATATAAACAGTGCGCGCGGCGTGACGTAAGACGTGAACGCGCCCCACCCGACGCCTTCACAATACCCGGATGTAAGCTAGCGATACAGAATTAACAACTATATTATTATTACACATAGAAACTAAGTGAGCAACTTCACAGGGTAAATGATTGCTAAAAAGTCTTTTGAAAGTGTTTTTTTATTTTATTTTTTACAAGATGCAATCTTAACGTGGGCATATACAAAAAAAATATACTAACATAAACGAGGAAATTACCAGGCAAAAAAGTGTTTTGCCAGTAACTAGTTGAAATAGATTTTAATTTACAATAGATCAATTCTGTAAGGTATCCAGTTCAACATACTGAACGTATAAACTGTTTGTTAGAACGGTATACATGTCTTTATATGTGAGTTTCCCAGATCCTCCAGAAAAAAACCCTGAAACAACTTCAGAGCAATCCAACCACTTACTTGTTTACTACACTGAATAGTATTTTTGAGCAGGCTGTATCTTTCTGACACTTTTCACCGGTAGTGGATACAAAAAAGTATTATTTAAGGCCTATATATTGTTGTGTTTCCCCTTCCAAAACAGACACACACAATATGGCCTTTACTGCACATGGCAATATGTCAGTAAGCAATTCAAGTTTTAATAGTAAAATAAAACATATTAAGCACAATATTTTAGTTGCAACAGTGAAGGTTTGTTGTAGGCCTTTTATGCAAAACCTCTGTTCAGAGTGCAGGGTGTCAGCATCACATAGTAGTTTCGTCACAGGGGTGAGTCTGGAAGTTTCCCTTTCTATATGCTTAAGATAACAGGCTCCTCCAGTGCAACAGGCAAAAGCCTCTCCCACTCAACGGACAAAGAGGCATTGAGGCTGTCTATTACAGTCCATGGTCCATACCCCAACTAGCAATGGGCCATTTGCTTATTTAAAAATAATAAAGGAATAAGGAATTTGTACGTTGTCCATATCAGGGAATCCCAGAGGACTAGTTCTCACAGTTTTCATATAACTATGTATAGCTGGTTTGGCAAGATGAACTGGCTTTCAGATGTTGCTCAGCCCACAGCTTGTCGGCCTCCAGTGGTCGTTTGGACACATTCCCAGGATAGACTCAGGGAGATGCACAGTGGTGGCTCCAGATTAATCTCACTTTGGAAATTACACAGTGCTGCAAAATTATTGTCAGTATTTAAACACAATGCATATTTGTTTAATGATATGAGTAAAATGAAATTAGTTTAGGACAACTCATATGAAATTAATTATTATTATTATAAGCTATTTTTTTTAAATGAAACTGTTAATGTGTGTGGCCACACTTTTCCAGGGGCTTGTAAACAAAGATGAACAAACACACAGATTAGTGGTGTGTTTGTTCTTCTCACCGGTCACACCTTAATATTGTTGGAGCAGTTTCCATAGTAACAGTGCACTTTATTTATCCCTGTAGGGAATTTCATCCTCTGCATTTGACCCATCCTGACGCCACTAAGGTTTCCATCAGGAGCAGTGGTCACCGTGGTACAGTACATGGAGACCCATCTCCTGTTGTTGATGCTTGGCTTGGTCAGGACAGGATACTGCTGCTGGAGGAGTTTTACCCATACATGTTTTTAGTGGTAGGAGAAACCGGAGCACCCGGAGGAAACCTGCGCAGACACAGGGAGAACATGCAAACTCCACTCAGAAAGCCCCTGTTTTGTTTGGGATTCGAACCGGATCGGATTTGATACTGTTACCAAACATATCATGTCATTTTCTACCCCTTTATTATCACATTTCTGGGTCGCGTGGTCGCAATCAGAGCTTCCACCCATCTCAATGCACCAGTCCCTCGCTGATCCTCTTGCAGGTGATGGGTCCACGGGATGATGGCTAGCAAAACAATACATTCATAATAGCTTTGTCTATTGGAGAAAGGAGTTCAAATTCTTACATAAATCGCTCATTCTTATCAATACAAAGAACTCCATAAAACTTCTTACATTCATTGACAACTGCCCTGTGCACTGACAGATGAAGTCTATCATGTCCTCTTTTTATTACTCTAGTTTATTTTAGTTTATTTTGTATTTATTTATTATTATCACTTTGTTTTTCTGTGTAAATATTATGTAAGGTACCTGTTATATAAAATATAAATATAAAACTATACATTAAAAAAACAACAACAGAACAAACTACAAAAGTACGAGAGTGCAAACATCTGCCAGGATAGACACACTATCACAACACAAATTTCCTGTCCTGTGATGCATCAGGTTTGATCAAGAACAATAATTAACACGATCCCGCAGGTAAGTCCTTGCAGAGAGGACTGTAAGTTAAAAACAAAACAAATTAAAAGCACCTTCAGCTGATTGTGTGTCAGTTTGTGCTGTCATATTTACTCTACTGTAACACATATTGGATCACAGTCCTACACTAAATACCAGCCTATATTGTATTGTAATAATTATGACAAAAAGTGTAATCTCTCGTTTGTAAAAAGGCTCACTGCAGAGCAAATTTCAAATATACATTAGTGAGACAATGTTCAAGTAGCTTAAAACAGTTCAGTTTAGCAGTGCACACAGCAGAAAGATTCTATGCACTTTTTTCTTTTCTTTTTTTTTTGACATGTTTTTATTTTGTGTGTTTATGATTAAAATGTTTCCTTTTTCGTTTTCGTTTGGCCTTGAGTTTTGATTAGATTTGAACATGAAATATGAGGAGGTCTGCTCGAGGATGGATGGGGGATAATATAATAAATCCATGCAGGATGAGTGACGCTCCCATGATCGTATAGTGACGACTCAAATGATTCTATTTAGTATGTTTTATGTATTTATACATAAATTATAATAAAACAGAGATTATAAAAGTGTGTTGCCGGTGTATTTTTGTCACAAAATTCTGCGTTTACAATCAGAGTGACTTCCTACAGCGTGTGCCTGCCAGTCACTACTCAGGGCAAAAGAAGTGCTCGCGCTGCTCAAAGCGGAAGTTCACAGGAGAAGAGCGATAGTTGCAAACACAAAACTCCCAACAGTGAAACAAATACGTGAGACTTCGTGTATCTGGCGATTTGCTGAGGACGGAACTGACCGAGGTAAGACCTACAAACTAACACGCCAATGTTGCTATTTCTGGCAACATCCAGACCTACTGCAAACTTGTCTTTATATGTTGTCAATTCTCCCAACCAAAGCTGTAGCTATCATGTTATCGTTAGATCGGCAGGTCAAGTCCTTGCGTAAAACGGATAATAATAAGTACGTTGTATGTATGTATCCATTCGTTGGGCTGACATGTAAGGTCAAACTTGGGCATGCTGTCTGGTAATGATCTGAACGCGCTGAATTGTCTTGCAGTCTTATGTCTTATTGTGTATGTGTTCTGTGTAGCATTAATTTGACATAGATTTGTGATATATTTACTTGATTGCGAGAGTGCGTGTTTATAAAAAAACACGAAGCATGAAAGATGTAAACACATCAGATTAGCTATTAGTCTAAGATTAATTCCCATCTGCTGTTCCAACACTATCATAATGATATCACCGTTACCAAGCATATTTACCTGCTCTGCCTTGCTTCAATTAGATGCTATTTTATTTATGAATACAGGAGTGTTCTTCTTGTCAATCCATTTTAGTTTCTTTCTTATTAACGACTGGGTGATTTGCTTGACACCAAAATAAACAAGTTGTGTCGTCACTTTTTGCAGATGCAAGACCTCCATTAAGGCCTTCTTTCTCACCAAAGCTTCACTTTGTACCCCAACAATGACCAGTCAGAGCACGTTACTGCCAGAGGTTTTGGCCAGTCAGTGTCTCTCTGCTCATGTGAGATCTCAAAGTGAGCTTGATTCTCCGCCTGTCAGCAGCTTCAACAATGAGCCCCCTCTGCCAGGCAAAACTATGGATGATTGCAGTTTATCCAGTAGCGAGATGTCTCACTACTACACACAACCTGTGAACAAATTAGAGGACCAGCCGAGTACAAAACAGTGGTAAGCAAATGTAAATAATACTGTATGTATGGGACAATTAAAAAACCTAATGGTTTATTTTTATAATTATTAGCCATTTCCATATATTGAACACACACAAACTGGAAACACTCCATACTCTGAGTTGTGACCATGAGATAAGAGTGCACTTTTGGAGATAATTAATGTTCATTCATTTTATGTCATTTCAGTCGGTTAAAGGTGGGCTACTTAACTTCTTCCCACACATTTTCCAGAAATAAACAGAAAATGTTTTCTGTGTTCTAACAGAAAGCATATTGTAAAAGTAAAATGTGAACAAATCAGACCACAACATGCTGTTGTTATCTTATTAGAAAACATGTTATCTTTACTAACTTGCGTCAGAAAGAGCCCTGTGAGTCATTATTCGATGTTATTGGTTGAGTGAGAGTGGTCCTCTATTTTTCACTTCTGTCTGAAAAAGCTGATCTAAAAATGTGACAAATGCCAAACAACGCATCCATGTAAAACTAGTGATAGAACAAAACTGTTACGAGAGTTATGAACTTGTTGGATTGATATCTTAATGTAGTTGCTTTTTATGGTTTGAAAGTTGGGTACCACCACTTCAAACAAACTAATTTGGCATCCTAAGCCCTGTAACTATTATAAGTAACTTCCATAATTCTGTTATAATTCTGCGTATTTGTAACTATTTGTTTTGTGCTTTTATGTTCCAGTGCTGTGCCAGAGATCCCCATGTGCCGCATCTGTCATGAAGGAGGCCTGCAAGAGGAACTGCTGTCCCCTTGTGAATGTTTGGGGACTATGGCCACCATCCACCGAAGCTGTTTGGAGCACTGGCTTTCTGCCTCAGGGACCAGTTTCTGTGAGCTCTGCAACTACCAATTTACTGTGCAGAGGAAGTCCCGGCCGCTGCTGGAGGTAAGAGACACAGGGTTGTGCATTGCAGAGTGTATAACTGACCCGCTGAAATCTGTCTGGTCATTCAGTGGCTACAAAACCCAGGGCTTCATCAGGAAAAGCGCACACTGTTTGGGGACATGGTGTGTTTCCTTCTCATTACACCATTGGCTACCATCTCTGGCTGGCTGTGCCTTCGAGGTGCCATAGACCACCTGCACTTCTCAAGCCGGCTGGAGGCTGTGGGGCTCATCGCACTCACAGTTGCCCTCTTCACTATTTACCTTTTCTGGACTCTGGTGAGTGTTGCACACACTGTATTACATGGTACTATGGGTTTTCTTTGGAATTCAGTGATGTAACTGAATTATATGACATTTACATAATACAAGTGATTGCGATGCGACTAAGGAAGGACAAATGCCCAACACAAACATAAACACATTTCTCTATGACTAAAAAGGCAAAAGCATAATTAAATACTGGTGACACACTAAAGTAATACTAACCAATATTAGAAGAAATAATGATTCATATATTATCTTGTCATTGCACATGTATAGACGGCCTTGTCTAAGCCTGTTGCTGATAAGCTTCAGGGAACAATAAATGTATGTTGATCCTTGTCCCTTATTCAACAGACACAATGTCACTGTTGTAAAACTGCTGTAGTTGGGGACACTTAAGGACTTTGCTTTGAATGGAGTTGAATGAATAATATTTTTGTTTTGCAGGTGTCTCTTAGGTATCACTGTCGTCTTTATAATGAGTGGAGACTGTCGAATCAGAGAGTGCTGCTGTTACTCCCCAGGTCCCACAGTGAGCCAGTGCTTCACTCCTTGAGCAGCTGGCAGCGGGTGAAGAATATCTCCAAAGAGTCAATAGTTTGAGCAGCAGCTGGAGTGACAGCGCTTGAACAAATCTATTACTGCAACTGCAGAGCTCTGTAAAGTAGCACTTTATTACTGCAGAGAAATACACCCTTATGGCTGTTATGGGCCACCGATTCTGACAGACACAGCTACGCGCTGCTAAACTGTGATTGGATGATAATGGCACTCTTCGTTCAGTGGCAGTGTCATATTGTTAGTGTTTGAAGTCAAGGGCACCGGAAGCTGAAGAATTAGGTAATGTTCTAGAAAACACAACGGTATAGAGTTTGGGATGAAGCCCAGTTCACCTTGTGTTGTATATTTGACAAACTCCTCAGTTCTTCTCAAAATAATAGTTGCACTTTTATTATAACCAGTTATAACCTTAGATAAATAAATGCACTTAAATTACTCATCACCTTGCATTTTTATGCTGAACTACCTTTATGTTGCTTAGGCAAGTAAAACGTATACTTTCTAATCTGTGGGATTTTTACTACTTTGTGTTACGTTGAACACTCATTGGACTTTAGTGCCTGCTTGGCAATCGTAAAACTGTCGCCCGGATTGACCCCATAGGGATACTTCTCTATAAAACCAAAAACCTTACTTCCCAAAATGCCTTTTTCATCTTGCATTGATGTGTTCCTTTGTGAGGGTCACATTTCCTCTGGTGAAGCACAACTGTTACTCACAGATTCACACGCAGATCTTAATCAGTGTTTGAGTTAAATGAACTTAAACCAAAGGTGTTTGTAAAGTATTATGTAGTTTGATGTTTGTGTGGCTTAAATGTATGTGGTTTTGTTGTCAAAGTGAACTAGAACATTTTTCAATAAAATAAATCCCTAAAAAAAAGTTTGAAATGCTCCATGATATAACAGTTGAGGTTAAACATGTGCACATTCACACTGCAGCAGGGTTCTGTTAATTACATTTTTACTTTTGACTATAAACTTTAATGTGAGGTCTGAAGCCAGATATCAAGAAATCTTGTAATACCTTTTTTTAGGACCATTTATGAAACTGCCACAACCCATTTCAGAATCACCAACTTTTTTGCTCTTCTGCTCAGATGGGGTAGTGTGCCATTTCCGCCACTCTTTCATCAGTTTGTTTGACCATAGAAACTTTTGACAACATGCAATGTTTGAGTTAAGTTGCAGAACACCAAGAATAGACAAACTTTGAATTGAGTCATTTTAAAGGGATTTTCAAATTTATAATTCAATGCTTTCAAGACTTGAACCCTGTAATGTGCATTAAATGTCCCATTTAAGTAAGTAATCTTTATTCATGTATCTCCGTTCACAGACCAGTCATAAAGCATTTACACATGGACATTTGTCTCACTCCACACAGAAGAGGGTAAGGTCACAAGTACAAGAGGCACACATCAGATCTAATGTGCATGTTTTTAGTGGTAGGGGAAACCAGAGCATCCAGAGAACACCTAAGTAGACCTGGGGAGAACATGCAAATGCCACTAAAAGACACTTTTCCAACCAGGATTTGAACCCAGGACCTTCTTGCTGAGAAGCGAGAGTGATATCCACCATTTATTGGAAACGGTGCATAAATAATGTCCATAATGCAGTTTTTACATGCTTTATTTTAAATAGCACCTCTGGTATTAACAAGAAGTTAAATCTCAGCAAGGTTCTAAGCTTATGAAAACACACGGATAATAAATAATTGCTGGCCAACAATATAGCCTAGACGTGCAATTTACTACTTCAAAATATCAAATACAAAAATAGACCTTTGCTGGCGCAGTTATTAAAATATTTCACACATTTATTTCTACTGCCTGATTCACAGCTAAAAAAACCCTACATGAAACACATTTTACAATTCAACGATGAACATTACAGTGGCATGCATAATAAAGCAGTACTTAAAACAAAGAGTTAATACAATCAACACTTAGTGGTGCAACGCATTTTAGAAAAACAAGGTTCTTTGTTGGGATCTTTTGTCAAGTTCAGGTACAGTAGGATAATTTAGTGTTCTGTGTGGTCAGTTTAGAGTGTAAATAATTACCTCAGATTTGCAGAATTTGAAGACAAAGTCTTGATACAATCAGATTTCCAACCACAGGTGATGCCGCTCTCACTGATTTATAAAAAGTAACTTCTGTACATTCATTATGCAACTTTAAAAGCAAAACGATATTTAGAGTGACATAGAAATCAAAGCTTGGTTTCAAAAAAAGCTGACAATCATAATAAAACAGCTCACATATTGTAACGTTCCAAACAACCAAATTAATAATATAAATGAAAAAACTTTAAAAACACTATAAAAGATAGAAAAATAGTTGTAGGTATTGTAGTTGGCAGCAAGTGGCTGGGCTCAGTGGAGGTGGTATGTGGATAGAGAACGATCACATGATGGAGCAGTTGGACTTCTTCGTTTCATTTACCTACAAAAGGAACAATAATGGACATTAGAAAATATTGCACCTAATTTTTCCCAGCACAAAAAATATCCAAGATGGTAATTTCCCTTCACTAAAGGCCTTCAAACTGCAGACCTGTGATGGACCAGGACAACAGTGGGAACAGTAGGTATGTTTGAACCCACGTCTGCGTTTCATCACGGGTAAGACTCCCCTGTCTTACGTAGATATAGATACTTCATTGATCCCTGTGGGGGAGATTCAGGTGTCCAGCAGAACTCATCCAGGTCTGTTGTACAGTCTGCCGCCAAAGGAACAAAGGATCTCTTGAAACGCTCCTTTTAAGAGCGCAGTGATATAAGCCTGTTACTTCGATTACTCCTCTGAGTCATGCAGAGGGTGCCTGGAGTTACCCAGGATGCCCTGCATTGGAGCCCTCATCCTTCTCTCCAGCACAGCTCCCACAAGAGTCCACACTTCTCCCCATCAGAGACATTTCCAGATCAGCCTGTTGAGCTGGTTACTGTCTGAGGTCAGACTGCCGCCCCAACACTCCACCCCAAAGGCACTAGCTACCACAGACTGGTAAAATATGTGCAACATTTGACTGCTCACATCAAAGGACCTCAGTCTTCTCAGGAAGAAGAGTCTGCTCTGACCTTTCTTATAGACAGTGTGTCAAAACACACTCGACTTTAAACAGCCTTCTTCTAACGCCACAGCACAGTGCACCCATCCACATGGAGCAAAAATTTTTTTCAAAAATGTTATATACCAGAATGACCTTTGAGATGGATTATAAGACTGGGTTTGCAAAACAACCATGGCCATAACACAGATAATAAAAAAAAAAGTCGTGTGGTTAAGATCTGGGCTCAGTATGGGAGACTTTTAGGGGGCGGGCTGTGTAATTCTCAAAGCTACTACCAGCAATTGTCTACACCAGTGCTTCCCAAAGTAGGGTTCGGGGGCTCAGAGAGGCTCCCGCAATCAAGATTGGAAACAAATATTTAAGCATAATTATTACACATATACTGCCTTTTCCAACTAGTGTACATTATTGTGTTTTGGTCGTGTGTTATGTAGTTTGGTGGAGTCTGTAAGAAGGCACAACTGGAGTCTTACCACATACTGTTCTTCCTCAATCACCTCCACATCTTCTCCCTGTTCCTCTTCCATAGTTGCATTATAAATGGTGGTCCTTTTTGCCACTTCCTGCTTAAACAAACTCAGTTTAAGGCCTATTCTGAATGTCATGAAACCAGTATGGTTAACACTTTCGCACCTCTCCTTGTGGGTTCAAAAGCGCCACAACTACATCCTCGCCAGATCCCCAAGAGCTTTGATTCTTCCACACGAGGTCAGAGGGAGGTTTGGAGCTCACTCCAGCATCAGAGGCCCAAATCTGCATCGGACAAAGAGGCATATTAAATGAGATGGCCCCAATACACCCGTTAATGGCCAAACCACTTACCATGACTTTTTGACCAGCTTTCAGGACAAACTTGGGAGTGAACTTGTAAGTAGCTGAAGATTCTCCAATTGTTTTCAACAGTTCATATCCCACCATAGCTTGATCCTAGGAAACAGAGAAGAGAAAAAGAAAAAGAGTTAGCTGCCATGTTGTATTGTAACAAAGATCCTGGCTAGCTTCTCCCCACCTCCTCACTGCTGTTATTAAGACAGATGAATTTGCCATCAGTGTCAATTTCCTCAATTAACACTGGTCCTGTGGCTGATGCAGAGTGAGAGATGCTCACAGAGCTACTAGCTTCCTGTTCCTCCACATCCACACGCTTACGCTTGCCCTGAGTGGTGCTCACGCTTCGGCTGCTTGATGAGGCTCGAGACACAGTCACACGAGCTGTGGGGCTGGGGGACAGCTTCAGCCTGGAAGAACCGGGACAAATGTTAGCTTTGAAAGTGACTCACACATGTCCTACAAAGATGAATACCTCTCCTCTTCTCCCTCTAGAAGTTTGCGGTAGGCGTTGATCTCCATGTCCAGTGCCAATTTAACATCCAGCAGTTGTTCGTACTCATTTAGTTGTTGATGCATTTTGGCCTGAATCTCACCAAGTATGCGGTCTTTCTCTGCCAGCATTTTACGGGCGTTGTCCTTCTCTTGGGCCAATGTTGCTTCCAGTTCAGATATGCGGTCACGCCATCCTCTGGTCTACAAGGGACATATAGGCCTTACTTCAAGGTGCAACTTTACAGGCTTATTCTATTCATTCAGTAAAGACATTTTTGCACAAAATAATTTCTTATCATCATCATCTCACCTCCTTCTGTAGACTGCCCAGTTGTGCACTCAAACTCTCGATTCTCAGGCTGGACTCCCTGAGTTCCTCTCGGGCCATGTTTGCAGACGCACCATTCATCTCAGACATACGGTGCAGGTCTTCGATCTGAGAAGAAGAGCAGTCAAGTTCACTTCACCTCAAAAGAGGAACTAAGCGGTCACTGTCACTTCCTGGTAAGCAGGAAATTAAGTTGTGGTTGTACAGAGCAATAATAGTTTTTACACAATGTAAAAACTAAACATTCAGGCTCTTTGAATTCATTTTAGAGTATTTCATACTTTGGCTGCGTAGGTGCTTTCCATGTTTTCCTTGTAGATCACAATTTGCTCTTCATTCTGAGCTCTCATATCAGCAAGAGCCTGTGTCAGCTTGTATTCATATTCCTCTTTGCGTCCAGAGTCAACTTCCACCAGCCGCGTCTCGTACCGCTGCCGAGCCTCTTTCACTTCCTGAAACAGATTATGTGGTATTCTTTTTCAGTTTTTAAACCAATCTGAAAGTTTAGGAGTGTTATGAGTCAAAGAATCACAACACATAACCAGCTTAATGTGGTCATGTAATATGTCTGTGTACATGCCCTCGTAAAAAATTACAACATTTCAGAAGCCGTCTGGTGCGAGTCTCTAGAATGTGATTTTAAAATCTGTAACATACCTCCACATGCATGCTCTTCCGAAACGCTGCCTCCTCTGTCAAACTTTGGCAGCGATTTTCCAAATCAACACGCAGAAGCATTTCATCGCCAAGTTGTTTTTTGGTCTGACCAAGGTTAATATCCAGCTATAAAATTCCCAACAAAATGAATTAACCAATGATCCATTCACTTTACGAACCAAACTCAAGTACATTTAAGATGTACCTCTTGAAGCTGCTCCTGCAGATCAACAATAGTGGCTTCCAGACCCCTCTTCTCGGACAGCGCAGTGGCCAGCAGGGCATCTTTGGAGTTGAGCTGAGCTTCTACATCCTTCAGCCTGGATTGGGCATTTGCAGCCTCCGAGTCCCTTTTGTTGTAGCTGAAAAACAAAGACAATTTTAATATATGAAGAATAGCACATTTCCCTTATTGTTAAGACTACAAGATGCTTTATTTGTCCCACATTGGGGGAATTTCAGTGTTGCATCGAAGGTTCCTGAAGAGTAGGAATGAAGAGCACACAAACACAAAAGATAAGCAAAGCTAAGCACAACTAAAACTGAACAAACATACATGTATGTCATACAGACCACATGTATCCGTGGCAGAATGTTTGACTATTCACCATCCTCCTAAAACATGTATTATCTTTACAGTTATTCAGAGTCCTCTAGTGGCAGTAAGTGTCAGTTGCAAGTTCTTTAAAACCTAATTTAGTCATGCAAACAGAATAAGTCATGGTTGAAAGAACCACAGCAATGAAACTTTCCAGGAAAACAAGTGAAATATCCGGTTCTAAGCCCTAGGCCCCAGTTAACAGAGTCAACAGCCAGGCCCTTTCATTAGGTTTGTGAGAGCACATTTATCGGTGTGCAGACTGGCGGGTGGGACTCAAGAGGAAAAACTATGGGTGGAATGTCCTGTGGTATGTGTGCTTTCTGGCGGTTTACTGTGAATTATTAGAAACACACAACATCCCAACTTCCCTTGAAGTTTACACAAAACTAAAACATATGGTCATTCAAAGCCTTATTAAAAACATTGACAGCATCTTCAGCTGGAAATGAATATAAAAGTATTATTATTACAACATAATATGAGCAGAATAGGGTGGAAATGTAAATGAAATGAAATGCACTAGTCATATTTTTATTTAAATTTAAATTACATTTTAATTCAGAGTTCAGTTATTTGGATCCATAATAATAATAAATCGGTTTTATACAGCCTTTTTTTGACTCTCAAAGACGCTTCACAAGTAATTATTCTTTCACTCCATACACGGTGGTGATAAACTACTACTGTAGCCACAGCTGCCCTGGGTCACACTGACAGAAGCGAGGCAATCAGTCTGTGCCATCGGCACCTCCGACCACCACCAACCATTCACACACACACCAGACGCATTCTAGGCAATGGGGGTGAAGTGTCTTGCCTAAGGACACAACAGCAGTTCGGCACTTTACCAGTTGGAGTTGGTGGAGAGAGTCTCGTGGTGGGCTGGAACCAGAGTACATTGCAGAAAGTAATTTAAAAAAGTGAATCATTTCCTCTGAGTCAAGTTTGATTAAGTCGGTGAGAAAAAGAACTCATGCGTATGTCAACATCCGGTGTCCACTGCATGAATGGACCACAACACTCCTGATCCACGAAGCAAATGTCCAAGGCACCTGTGCTTTTATGTCAGTGTTCAGTGCATCCCTTCCACAACAGACGTCTGACGGGAAGTGCAAACAAATGGCTGCGAACCAAAATAAATTATTTGAAAATAATCACAATAAACTAGTCGCATTTTATGTCCACGTGTAGGCACAAACTATGACCATCTTTTGATAAACCATAGTAGCAATTAGATGGTAAGCGGATTTGAGCGTAACAATGGGCGGGTTCAGTCACTCGATAGACAACGAAAAATAAACTTATGTATCATGCACCTAACAAAAATAACTATTTCCACTGCTGTGATAAATGGATATGACCTAATGGCAATAAACCCAGTACCAACAATACATTCGTATTCTCATTGTAACACTAGGAATTACGCACAAACGTAACTCGTGCGTAATTTTGGTCAAAAAGGCTCCAAAATCAAATGGACGTGTTGCCATTTTGTTTATCTATCATGAAAGAACTTGACCCGTTTCTTTATTCCATTACACTTTTGTGGAGCATACCTCTGTGCCAGCTGATCATGCTCGGTTTTGATCTTTCCCAGCTCGATCTGCAGCCAGGCCCGTTCCTTGGAGGAGTCATCCAGGCTCTTCCTGGCGTCTGCAAGCTCCGTCTCATACAGAGCCCGGAGTCCGCTCAGCTCCCGGCTCCTCACGTCTTCCTTCTCACTGATCTTCAGGTGGAGCACGTCGTTCTCATTCTCCAGGCTGCGGACCTTGTCGATGTAGACGGCCAGGCGGTCGTTCAGGTCTCGCAGCTGTTGTTTCTCCTGCAGTCTGGTGATCCTGGTGGGACTGAGCGGAGTGCCGCCGCCACACGTGCTTTTCGGACCGGTCGGAGTCGCGGGCACCGTCGCCATTGTTGTAAAAACAGCAACAAAGCAAAGCGATAGAGTCCAAGGCCACTGAACCAACTTTGCAGGCGCACAACAATCGTACTGGACCGAGGAGCTGGACTCTCCCCTGCGGACCACAAACCGTGCAGAAAGGAGCTCCTGGCGTGTTCAAAGCGAATGAAAGAGGGGTTGTCCTACCAATATGGCGGCTCATTGAAAAGTTTACGCTGCGCGTTTTCAGCCAATGGTGAACGACGGCGCAATGCGTTCTTTCGTTTTGAGCGGAGGGAGCACTCGTACACTACACCGCCACCTCTCAGACTCATTAATATACAGGCAAACTCCTCTGACATAAAGGAAGACACATGTGCAGACGTACTGTGCACTAAAACAGGCGTCACTGTACAGTTAACGGCTGAGTCCAACAATGTCATTTCCTGTTATATATATATATATATATATATATATATATATATATATATATATATATATATATATATATATATATATTATGGGCAATCAGAGATCAGAGATGCCACCCAAGTCTCATAGCACCAGCCCCTCACTGACCCTCTGCAGGTGGTGAGTCCACAGGAGGACGGCTGCTCTCTGAGTGTGAGCATAGCCTTGATCTTTCAGTGGGGGCTTTGGGCAAAGTAGGGTTAAGTGTCTTGCCCAAGGACACAACGACAGCAGTCATTAGTGGGAGTCGGTGGAGAAGGTGCAGAGGATATATATATATATATATATATATATATATATATATATATATATATATATATATATATATATATATATATATATATATATTTGTGATATATATAACAAAAATAGTAGTAGCTAGTAGTAGATAAAGCTCGATAAAGCTTGAAGTAACTTCTATACTTATTTCCAGAAACCTCACCTTGTCATAACAATAACTTGCCTTACACACCCAAACAAACAAAACACTAAAACTCTTAAGTACGAAATCCACAGCATCCAATACAAATAATCTTATTAGAAATAAAAGAAACATACATTTAAACATACATACAAACTTTTATCAGCTGTCTCAATTGTTCAAAGGCATCCCGATATAAATCCTCGTTTTAGTCTTTGTTTTGTCATTAATTATTTGAGAGTCATAACAAGACCTTTTTTAGTTCTACGCCACATGTTATTTTACCACTGAGATTAGTGAGCCGCGCGGAGTTCTGGCAACTCGATCACGGACTTACATGACACTTCCTGATTGGCGAAACGGCGGAGGGTAGGGCATCAAAATCAAAACAATAACAACTTTTACGGGTCGTAAAACTAATTTTGATGATCAAATATCTCGGCTGAACTACTGTTATCAGTTAAAGATGAATTCGAAAAGATTTAAGATTTAATAACGCCTTTTGAAATATTCGGGTCATTTAATGATGACTTGACATGCAAATATTACATATTGCTCCTTTAAAAAGGATCAGATCAGATTAAAATAATCCACAAATGACAGTAAATACAAAAGATGAACTTGTCAAATGTTTGCCTTTTAGGTCATTGAACAGGTGCCAGGCACAGATGTTTGCACTGCTGCTCCGTCTCTGAATGGGCAACTTGTTGAACTGGTGACATCAGTGTCTGTATACTGCAGCTCAAGAACAGGTGTGAGGTAAGGAGAATAAACAATGTGACACTACTTGGTTACCTCCAGCCAACCATGGACACAATGAGTACATATACAGCACTGTTTGGTCTGTTTTCAGAATGGGTTTTACATTAATACAAAATATTCGTATTCACAAAAAAAAGATCAAGATTGAACAATTGAACCAGATTTTTATTTGAGTTCATAAATTCAAGGATCACAAGAGTTGACTTTTTATTTATTTATTCAGTTTTATAATTAGTTGGTTGCAGTCATATATTGGTCCAGAAAATACAGAACTATTATTTATGGAAAAGATTTCAGAAATGTGTAAAGTAAAGTTATATTGTAGAAACCTGACAAACAATTTTTTTTTCTTCTTGAGAACAAAAACATAACAAATGTTGCACAGATTAAGTCAAAGATCGATTTGGCATGACACGTTATCACTACTCAGAGGAAAAAGAATGGATGGATAATTAAGAATAGTGCATTACCTTCTTTAGAACAAGGCGTCAATGACAGACAATGAAAGTAGTACAATTAGAACATTTCGAGTACTTGATCCTGAAGCACATTTTACAATATAGATATTAATTTATTGGCATTACTGCGTCAAATTATTATCAAATATTATAAGATAGGCCTTCTGAATGGAAGGATCGACTTTGAAAAATAAAATTGAATTCCCATTCAAACTTCAGTAAAAAATAAGTACAGTACAATATGTACATTTGGCTGTTCCTTCAGGATGCATTAAGTATAGGCTCTCAAGGAGAGGCAACATTTGTGCAAAATGAGACAGTAGTTCTCTTAATGCTCTGTGGCTGTTTACGTACACAACCATCGTAGGTGAGTTGTGATAATCACATCTCTAAAAAGTCCGTGGGGGCAGCTGCTGTTTGTACATCCCAGCCAGTGCTTTGGCTGCACTCTGTATCATCTGGCGCTGGGTCATGCCTGTCAAGGCGAAGTGCCAGTCTGTGCGGTTGATATTGGAAAGACTTCGCTCTAGAACCTCACCCATTGTAGCAATGAGACCAGACCATCGTAGACTGTAGTCCGGAGGGGTCAATGACTGGGCCTGAAACCAGATCAGTTAGAATGCAAGGGGGAAATGTTTGGCAAAAAGATATTCAGGGGCACCATCACACTTGTTGGAATCTAGTTTATGTTATCTGGATCAATTCAGCTTCACTAAAAAGTGTCTTTGTTTGTGAATGTAAAACCACCAAACAAGTGATGATGTGTCCATTAGTTTACACAGTCTACACAGTTACAAACATATCTGAAGTATTCCTGCCCCAGACTTGGTCCAGTAAAAGTGAACCACAACTGTGGACGCGCCCTTAGACATATTATTAACAGCTTGCTGGGACAAATGTCTTTAATACAAACCTGCTGCACATGCTCCAGAGCCAGAGGTGTAGCTTGAGTAAAGACCTCAATGCGGATGTTGTTTCCTGGATCCTCCAAGATCAAGCAGGCAATGTCAAACCACCTACATTATGAAAATACTGCTATAAATATACAATAGTAATGTTCACTATGTTACATTCCTAAACCCTCAGTCATCTCACTTGTCAGGAAAGAGTTCAGCAATTAAGTTTTCCAATGAGACCACCGGCTGCTTCTCATGGATCACGCCAGACCGCCGCAGGCCGTCAATCCGCTCCTGCGCTCCCTGAGTACAATGACAGTTTACATTATATATGGTTTTTTTTATATTATTGTGAATTTACGGATGTTTCTAAACAACCTTGATGCCAGCAGCATAACCAACAGGTTGTGGGGCAATGTTGGATTGTCCAGCTTCCCCAGTTACCATGGCCATCCCAAACACTTCCTGAAACGCGTCCCTCACAGCCTCCACCTGCATCTCCTTCTCAGACGCCACAACAATGTCCACGTCTCCCCCAGATTCTGGTGAGCAACAGTACAAGTTTTACAAACACTATGTTTATATGCATCATTATCAAGAAAAAAAGTAAATCATTTCAGACCTGCATTCAGACACCATGACCCTTTCCACATGTTGTCTTTTTATTACCTCAAATAATAATTGTATTGGCATCAAAGACATAGTAAAAGGAAACATACATTTTTATTTTTTATTTTATAAATAAACTGAAACATGTAGCTTGCAAAAGTATTTACCCCCTGAGTCAATAATAATAATAATTCATAACGTAAAGGCTACTGTAGCCACATCTGACTATCACCAATATTTCACTCACACCCCACACTCAGGATTTAAAAAAGCATCAAACAGACTCAGTTACAACAGTTCTGTGAAGAGAAGCGGGCCAAAATTACAGCCAACTTTTGAGAGCTTGTGAAAGGAAACCTAAAACGTTTGATCCATGGCAAATGCCAAATACTAACAAATACAAAATGTGTGTAAACTTCTGACTTTGTAGAAAATGTATCAAAGGATGACACATAGTAGAATTGAAGCAAATAGAAATAGAAACTTATATCAGTGTATCTGTACTTTTACGAGGTGTATGTAAACTTCCCATTTTCACTGAGAGTTACAGCATAATGTTCACTCACTGATGTAAGGAGCCATCCCAGGGTCCAAAGTGGTGATCATCGACTCCACAGAGTGCTTTGTTTTGTCCAGGACGGTCTTCACCACAGGATTACCTGCTACACCCTGCAAAGACCATGAGTGTTAAAAGTACCTGTTTGGAATTATTTGGTAAAGGGTCTTATAGAACCTCTTTAAAATTTCCATTAAAGAAAATCTGAGATTTCTTATTCAACAATGATAATCAACCCCGTAGTATGACAGGTGTGCACGTCACTAAACAAAGGAAATGTACCTTAAAGAATCCCCAAATTCCCCCAGTAGAGTTTGGAGGTCCAGGCACTCTCGGGTCTTCCTGCTCCTCAGGAAAAGTAATGGGAGAGCCTGCGTTTACTCCTCCGGACATAACAGGCTGTTGCATCATGGGATTAGATATAACACCTGAATAGGAAACAGCTGTAATTATGCTTATTCAAATTTAAGAAAAGCTATATGCTTAAGCCCAATTAATGCTCAAAACATCAACAACAGGGTTTGGTTAAATCTCAGCCTTTATAAGGACTTACAGAAAAACATGTGTTGATAATGTAATGCTTACATTGCGGGTAAACAAACTAAAAAGGTGCTAGCTGTTTCAATAATTGTTAAAAATGTGTTCCTACTATTTCACTCTGCAAACACCTTTGCTTCTTTAAAGTTACAATACAGACTTAATACATTTCTTATTTCAATTTGATCTCGAAGTGGCAAATTGTCATTGCTATTATTTGTCAAATGGAAACAAGGCCTTGACATTGGCTTCATAGATCCTAATTTGATGATTGAAATATCTTGGGGATACTTGACTAAAGAACACTGGTTTAAGAAGGCAGGTTGATTACCTGGCACAGCTGAGGGATTGGAAAAGGAAGGCATCAGGGGGGTCTGTGGTGCTCGTCCTGCATGGCCTCTGGTGATGTCAAACCCGGCACTCATAGAGAATCCAGTCATAGGAGGACCAACAGGAGGGGCGGTCAGCCCAGGGACTGCTGCCGGAGATGGTCCCGCCGAAGAGATCATAGGTATCATTGGAAAGGCAGGGGAGGCCGTGGTGGGGAACTGTGTGGTGTGGGTATAAGGGGCAGAGAGTGTGGCGTGATACTGCCCCGGCAGAGTCAGAGGAGGCATGTACGGACTGGTGACAGCCGGCAGTGATGAGTTAGGAGCAGAGATGGAACCAACAGAGATGGAACTAGTGCCTGGAAAGTGGAATATCAGTGGTTAGGCCTGACTTTCATATTTTCCTAATGTTGTTGTCATTACTGTGGAAGATAAGTATAGTTACTTGAAGGCTCTGTTGGAGCACTGGCTGTGGAAGCCACCACTGGAGCCAAACTTGGAGAGGGGTTAGGGCTAGTTGGAGGTGTAACCTCTATGCCACTTTCTTCCATCATCTTCTTTTAGAGATTCAGAGATTAAAATATAGTCAATCAAGAATTGATAGTATCACAGTCAGTCTTATTCAACCGGCTTCTGTACAGGCTTTTCGCATCTCGTTCAGTCATAGCTGTTCTCACAACCCTTTCCAGACATTACCCTGATTCTAAAGACTCACGGAGGCCTGTCACCGGTCAACACAATATGAATCAAATGGAGTTTAATGTGCCAAACTTGGATTTGAAAACGACCACCATCACTTATTTCTAGAGTAGCTGTTGCAAATGGTTGATCCATGCTCTGATAAAAACATGTAATGTGCTGAGAGCTGAGTTTTGGAGCGCGTAAACAAAGAGGAAACCGCTTCATCCAACTCAGTTAACATACACCTTACAAACAGTTTATATTCTGTAATAGTTAAATGTCGGTTTACTTACTACTCGCTGCTGTGTTTCTGTCTCATGAATGAGGCTCACACTGATGACGTAGGCCAGTGCCACGTCTGCTGCGATTTCGCCTCTCGCCGCTAGAGGCGACAAATTGTCACCAAAGAAAAGTCTTTATACATGTATCGAGAAATAGTAAATGCCTATTTGAGGAGAAAAAAAAACGTTGAATGGATTCTATCCCCAATCACACTCAGAAAATACTGAATTACACCCCAAAATGAAATATAAAAAGATGTATGTGAATTAGTTGATAATGGGTTAAAAATATCTTAAAAATCCCATAAATGTAACAAGGCAGTATAAACCTAAAATTGATTGAATTTACATAATTGAGAGCTGAAGTACTGAATTAAGTATGTAATAAAAACCTAATGCAACTAGAACTTAGCTCTTTAAGTTTTTGGTTCTATATGGTCACATCTTTAGATCAGATTGATGAAAAAGGGAGTGCCCTCAGTCAGTCAATCAGCTCTCAATATGTAAAGGCTATAATGTTTTCTGTTAAGTTAAAGACAGCATTTTGTAGTTTGATTTGTTCATAAATTTTTACTCTTTCTCTTGGGATAATTCTCTATGAAAATTAAAACTTTACGTTTGCCCTATATCATATAATGCTTTTTTGATAAGATTCTTAGAACTTGACTAAGTCAAGGGAGACCATCCAATCAGGAGGGAAGATGGCGGGGTTATTAAACATCTCTTACCATTTAAATTTGGAACCAGATCAATAATATTGATCAATCTCAGATACATTATCAATATATAGACCTCGTCTTGTGCACTGGCAAAGGACAAACTCTAAACTTATCAGATTGATTAAGTGCAGATTTAAGTCAAACATTGTGAAAGGTGACAGACAAATAAATAAATATCTATCTATTGTATTTCATGCTTTCACATTTGAAGAGGCTGTGCAGTACTTGAAAATGGACATTCACAAAAGAACAGCTATACTTGAAAAACTAAAAGACAATCGCACAATTGTCTAAAATCACATTTTCTTTTCTCGCTAAACCTGTGCACATGTTTGAGCATACAATACATTTGTTAAAAGTTTACAAAACGTTTAAACTTTACTGATGTAAATACTACAGTTCAGATTCTAGAAAGTCTCAGTTTACAGACTACGCTTTCCAGACACAATTTCTTCAAACATATCTGGAGTCATACTAATATATGTTTTCAGTGAAATATCTAAGAAAAACAGTGGGTCAGAGATGTTGGCGGGGTTGAAACCCTCTTGTACGAGCTTCGACTTCTGCTGTTTCATTGTCTCTGTCACTTCAAGCACCGTCTGCAGACACAAGTTAGAGGTTTATCACTTATCCACAACAGAGGAACAACACAAAAGGATCAGAATGTTCACCTGCACTCTGAGAAACCACGGCCAGGCATAAGGAGGCAGCGTTTCCACCAAATGACTGCAGAGCTGTGGGCCATCTAATTTACATCCGGGCTTAAGGACTACTGCAGCCATGCCTGCGCGTCCTTCATTCCCTGTAGATAGAAAGCAAACAATCTCTGCTCATAAAGCTACAATTCATAATAGAGACCAGGGGTTCAAAAACTTTGTACATATAGTACCACCAAAGAAAATACTTTCCAGAACTAAAACAAGACCCTTCAGCCCAAACTATGGCCAAAACAGGTCCGAATTACAACTATACCAGTGGTGTATAACTAATTTTGGTCAAAAGCCAAATTAAACTTTTATTTGAATCCTTTGTTACATTATGAAAGTATTTTTGACAAATGAATTTGATTAGAGTTTGGATATTCTTTTTTGTTAGATTTTTCTGAACCAAAACTGGACCAACTATAAAGAAGATGTTATTGAGGACTGATTTTTTATTCTAATTTAATTTAACTTCTAATAATTTGTTTGGTTAATATTTAGGAATAAATGCTATAGTTGTCATCCCAAGAATAAGAGCTTTAAAATGATGAAAACGATATCATATTAGCCCAATACCATAAATGCTGCTAATTAATAATAACAATAATTGAAAATATTTTTCAATTCCACTAAAAATACTCTTATGAGCTGGATTTGGCCCATGGGCCTGAATTACATACCTGAACTACAGTTATTCTAAGTAAAGATTAAAGGATCACAATATGTGGGAAAGATTGTCAAACATAATTATATAACTATATTTACTATGTTTGACCAAAAGGGTTTCAGACCTGGGACTGTGACTCCATAGACATTTGCTTCCTGAATAAATTCAAGACATCCCAGAACCTCTGACACTTCTGTTGTGGACACGTTTTCTCCTTTCCATCTGCAAATAATTTACAATGATCCACCATTTCTGATGTCAACAGTTATAATGTTATAAATGTGGGGACCTGAAGGTGTCTCCAATGCGATCACGGAAATACAAGAAGCCCCTGGAGTCCTGCAGGAGTAAGTCTCCAGTGTTAAAGTACACATCTCCCGGCCGGAGCACGTCCCGTAGCAACTTCTTCTCTGACTGCACCGTGTTCCCCGCATATCCAAGAAACTGGTTCATTATGGAGAGGGGGGCGACCAAGAGACCGGCTTCATCTGCTTACACCAACACAATGAACAAGGCCGCCACATAAGAATTACAGTTGTTTGTTATTTTACCTGTTTCTGCCTTTATGCACCTCCCAGTGTCTGTTCTCACAGGTTCATAATGAAGTGGATCGCATTGCAAAAGCTCAAATGGCATTGAAAGCTAATAAAACCAGAAGAGAGTGACAAAGCTAATTGGAGACATGTAAATTATAGTTGTATTATTTTGTTACAATGTGTCTGTGTTCATCTGACCTTGTTGAAATAGCTGGCCCTCCCGATGGGTCCAACCTCGTCAGTGTAGTTGAGGAAGCCAATACTGGCCTCAGTGAGGCCATATCCTTCCCTGATCTTGATCTTTCCAAAGCGCTGAGGAAGCTCTCTCCAAACATCAGAGCGCAGACCACTGCCGGCAAAGAGGCGCACGCAGTGAGCCCGCTCCTCAGGAACCTGAAAAACAAATCATCTTTAATAAAATCAACCAGCAACATATTAAACCTTAGAAACGTGTTCCCTTTTCTTACCGTTGGATGGTTCAGTAAATATCTGCACAGTTCACCAATATATTGCACTACAGTCACATTATATTTTACACAGTCTTTCCAAAATTGCCTGGCAGAAAACTTTTTCTTCAGGACACAAGTAGCACCTAGAGGAGGGAGGGGTGACAGAGCAAACAATGGATCAACTGTGAGAAACTTCCGCACTTTTGTTTTTACCAACTTCTTGTCTTTCCACAAGGAAGTCTGAATTCCTACAGGACTTTGTTTATGATCTGTGTAGCTTCCTGTATTTTAGTTTTTCTAGAGTAGAGGTTTCTTACTCTTTTTCAGAAAGGGCCGTGTGGCTGCAGGTTTTCATTCCAACCAAACAGGAGCCCAGCAGACTCCACTCAATTCATCAAGTGAGTCCAGTCTTGGACCTTGATGAAATGAGTGGAGCCTGCCACTCCTGCTCGAGATGCAATCATCTTCCAGATGATTCTAGCAGTGATAATTTATCAAGACTGATGCACTTACCCAGACTGATGCATCCACCCACTGCTAAAAGGGAAGCAGACATGTGGTAAAGTGGAAGAGTGATGTAGATGACGTCACTTGAAAGGGCGCCACACATCTCAAGAAACGCCATGCTCATGACAGCTTTCAGGTGGCCGACACGCGCCGCCTTTGGAAGACCTGGGATGAATTTGAATTGATTGATTTTATTTATTTGAGCAGACTTTATACATTCATAATATCTACATTCCTTATTTTACATGACCTTTTGTATGCATCCAAATATATATACATAATTAAATATACAATCAAGCAACAGTATTTGCCCTAGTTTCACAGTGTGTTGTATATTTACAAATGCATTTCTATTTACAATTTGTCAGCTCGAAATGGAGTGGGAAATTAAAAACTGAATCAATAATGAACATGCAATTAGACAGGACACAGGACATATGAACATCCCTGAGTTAAAGGCTGTACCTGTAGTGCCAGATGTGAAGATGAACAGAAAATTGGACATAAGATCAACCGCAGGTAGGCCGTTGCTTTCTTCAGAAGGCATTTTCTCAACCTTTTCCAGTAAAGTCTCAAATTCCTGACAGGGCGATGAGTGATCCATCACCCAAACCAGCAAGTTGTCCTTCTTTAGGTCGGACCACACCTCCTTCACCACACTCACCAAATCTGTAAGTAGAAAATCATCAGGAAGAATCAGAAGACTATGGATCCATTAAAAGCAGATGTTATAGTACTCATGAGTAAAAATACTACTGAAATATTAGTAGCAACAGCTGTATTTGTAATATAATGTAAGATAAACTTTATTGATCTCACAATGAAGAAATTTACACGTCACATTTGGCATAGATAGAACCACTCAGATTGTGCAAAAAGACAGAAGTGTTCAAACATGTTAAGGCTAAAAATATAGTCTGTGCAGGATATAATTATGTACAATAAAAAGGCTATAACAGTGCTGGTTTTTCAGTCCTAGTGCAGGTCATTAGGGACTTAAAGTGACTTTTTGTACAGTAAGCTGACTTATATGAAGAATATGTCACAAAAGATATCTATATATTGGTTTAACTGTACTTAATATTTCCATTAAGCCGTCCAGTCACGTTACATAGTGCAGCTTTAATGAATGTTCCGTACGATACAGATGTGTTGCTCAACTTTTCTGGTGGAGAAAAACAAGTGACTTTATATATAATTAAATCATGTGCAAGTGCTTTATCGTGCTGAGGTACATTCCAAGCAAAGAAGACTAGAATTAAAGGGGAGCCCAACCTGCAAACCAAAATGTTTCAAGTATTTATCACAAGTTTACATGTGTATGCTTTTTTGGCCTCTGTCATGTTCTGAGATCAGCTATTCAGACAGAAAAGTGAAACATATAGGACCATGGGGCATGCATTTCAGCCTTTGACACATCTTTATATCAGGGTTTTCAGAAAAAAAGTCAAACCAAAGACAAAATAAAAGAGTACCAGCCCCAATTCAGCCAATCAGCTCTCAGAATGTAAAATATATAATGTGTTTTTAACAAAATAAAGTCAGCATGTTGGGGTCTGATTTGTGTTCAAAATAGCCCTGTTCTCACCAGCCCCTACTCTACTCTATCCCAATTGGGCGTTTCCTTTTTTTTTTTTTTTTAGAACCAGGGCCAAGAGGGACTTAAGTGTTCTTCAGCCAGTGATTGGCCAGAGTGCTGCTGGAAACAATGGTTACCAAGGAATTTTCACAAATTTTGGTTGATGGAAAGGAAGGTTGCTAAGATACGGTACCAGATACTAACGGGCAATGGAAACACAACCAGTTTGAATTGAGCCGAGTAGCGCAGGACCAAGCAGGGCTGGTGGAAACGGGGCTTCTAGCAAAATGTATTTATGACAAAAAAAAAAAAAGTTAGGTCTCCAAGCTTTAAAGTAAGTGAATAAAACTGCAAATATCAGACCCATGAAGGATTCCATGTTCAGCAAAAGATCTGTCAAGACACGTTGACTAACCATACCTGCACCGACAACCAGAGCCTTGGATCCACAGCTTTGTAAGCAGTGGAGCAGGGAATTTGCTTTTATATTGACGTTGAGAAAGGCGACCTGACAGCCCAACCTGCAGAGCCCTAACCACACACAGATGAAGTCCGGATCATTGCACATCAACAAGGAAACTATGTCCCCGGGTTTTAAAGTGCCCCGGGTCCGAAGCGCGTTGGCAAACTTGATACTTCTCCGGTTCACCTCTCCGTACGTCCACGTCTGATCCTCAAAGATGATGAAGGCTTTGTTGGGGTTAAGTCTCGCCTGATGCAAGAAGCAGTCCAGGTACGTGACGACCCCCTGTTTCATGCGTGCAGCCGCCTTCTTTTTGTAACCCCTGAGTTTTAAGTAGTTCATCAAATCGTCCCAGAAGAATGGATAGGCGAGTCTCTGGTACAGCAGGAGCGCCGTGAGTCCCGCTGTGAGGCTGGAGAGGATCAACATCATCATCTTTGCCTGTCACGAACATTCATTACTCTAAAACACAGCACAAGTTTGCAGGGAGGCTTTCTCCTGGAGCTCAGACCTGCAGACAGCCTGATAGCCCCGGCCCCTGACCAATGAGAGCGCAGTGGGGAGGTGAGGGGCGCGGCACTACAGGCTCAAGGGTCACCCGAGATAAATGCATAATGACAGCATCCTGTGCAAGCTTTCAGATACTTTTTTATTTGACACATCACGGGGAAAAAAACAAAATAAAAAAACATATCATTTTATAGTGATTTTTATATTTTCATTAAAAAAACAAAAGTCCAGGATTACGGAACAAATGGATGCAGAGATGTGCCATGGCAACACTGAATATATTCTCTCCAAATGATTGAATACTTTACATCATGAACCTGTTTTCAGTTCAAAGACTTAAGACACCTGGTGATGGACATTTTCCTCAGAGAGAACATAACAAACTATATACATTATTTTACAACATGTATTATTATGATCAATTGGCAGTTATTTGGCTCTTTCATAACAGTACATTAACAAGTGATATCAGACACATTTCTTATGAATGAAACCAAACCTTCCTGACATTTTACTTCCATATTTCAATCAAAGCGAATCTCATATGCATTACTTTAGTTTGCTCTCCACTTTGTAATAGAAATGTGTGTCAAAAATGATGTTCACTGAAAAATATATACATTGAACTATCTGCTTTACACTTGTTACTCAGGACATTTATGCTCATCCTGCTCCAATGGACCAATGGCTCCCATTTGTTATTATTGCATTTCCTGTGTTCTAATAGTGTCATTCTCTGATCTGTTTTTGGCAAATCGACAACTTTCTGAAGTCCTCTGAGACGACTGCTGTTGTGATTTAGGGCTATGCAAAAAAAAATGGAAACTTTTAATTGAACTAGAAATCTGTAACCAAAGATCTTGTTACACAGATGACACAGCTCTCCAGTACTTCACAACAGAAGTGTCTAAACATTGTATAGCGTCACACACTAATGAAGTAAACAAGGCTAAGGACTGATTTGAGGTCAACAGTGAATCTATCAAAACGCAATAACCATCAGTTCAGTAAATACATATCTTAATAAGGCCTTTTTTACAGAATAAATATGACCCATAATTTTGCCATAAAAAAATGTTAACAAGACATTTCACTTTGTCATTTTATGTTTTCCAATGTAAGATTTTTAATTTAAGCCTTAAGATGTCTTCCTTTTATTGTACATTGTACAAATTTGTAAAATGGAAATAATGGTCCCTTCACCTGGACGTCTGAGCTTCTCATTCTACACCTGGGCCGTACTTTGGACACCTTTTACAAAGATGTGAAACATGACTAAAATAACGTACATACACAGTCTAACTAACACAACAATTAAAAATGAAATATATGTAAGATGGTCATTGGCTGTTATGACATGGAAAGACCTTCGGAAATGTTTGGAATTCATGCTCGAGTCCAGCTCAAGCCTCTGTACATGCTGCCCTACTGACATACAAGATTATTTAGACCGGTGCAAGTTAATATTTGTTTGAACAATAACATTTGACATGGTATCAAAAGATATCATTAAAAAAATTATGTCATCAAAAAGCACAGGTCACAAAACAAACAGATGCAGAGATGTGCCATGGCAACATTGGTTATAACTCTAAAACTATACACAGGTAGCCTCATGTCAGACTCCATATGTCAGACCATCTTCCTATTTTGCGGACGCCATGACCAGGATTCCTCTTTGGCATATTCGTTTTGTACTGCATACGTAACATTGTCCATGTCGAAATGCCACTGTATCTTCAATCGTACCATCTCACTAAAGAAACTAAAGCAGTGCATTCATCAGCCATGCTTGCAGATGTGTATGTACAGTATCGTTGTTGTTATTAAAGTCAAAATCAATATAGGTTGATATTTGCCATGGGCTGTCTCATGGCCATCACTGTTGTATTTCAGTTACAGAAATAAACAATGATTTTGTAAATGCACGTATTAATGTCAGTGCATTTGGTTTGGAACAAAACAAAAGACAATGCTGAACTTGGACGCTTGAAAGAAGACTTCCAATGCACCGGTGTTTTGACATAGTGCAAAAATGACGTCTCGATAAAACAACGTCTTTCATACGAACTTCTTCTTCTTCTCATATCTATCATCAGCAAGACTTTATAAAAAATAAAGATTTATAGTAAGTAGAAGTTATAAAAAACACACATTAAGAAGCAGTATGCAAAATGCCATTGTTCGTTTCTGTGGTATGGTTCCATCTTCAGAGTGAGACCTCGTGTTTTGCAGTTCCAGAGGCTGCACACGTATCATCAGTCTTAAAGAGGTCTCTATCTGTCAATGCAGCAGATGGAGTGCAGCAGTAGTGGTCGCACGCAGGCGTCACAGTCATCATTCACTGTCCACAATGTCCTCCTCTGAGGTGGAGCTGTCCCGCACGGGGAGAATGTCATAATGACTGGGGATGTGGCTATTTCGAGGCATGTCGTAAGGGTCTTGACTGAATTGCACTCTGCTTGATACAGTGGTCACAGTTGGCTCTGAAAAATCAGAAGAAAAAATGTCAGTTTTCTTCTTAATCATTAAGCCAAAGTCTCAAAGAGTAGATTACAGTCATGTTCTAGAAATAATACAAAATAATCATTGTTTATTACAGATTCAAGGTCCATATAAAAGACAATACAAAGACACCACAAGACACAGACATAGAATAGCACTGACCCCAGCTCAATATTTACATGTAGAGAATGTATAATGCCAGATGAACACACCGCATCCTCTTTACACTCACCAACTTCATAGAGGTTTCTGTTTTCTGTGGGGCTGCTGCTGCTTATCTCAGCATACAGCGAGTCTCGTCTGGCTGGAGACTTCATCTCCACGTACCCACACTCTGTGGTTTTAGCTGACAGAAGCGGAGGGTCTTTGATTGTGGCATAGGGGTTTTCAGAACTGTTGAGGGAGGACGAACTTCCGTGGTACGGTGTGTCTTGGGCCATATCTGTCAGAAAGACGATGAATTACATCTCATGTGGTTTTTGTTCCATTTTTAATCTGTTTGCTGGAATTTTGTTCTCACCGTGCAGAGAATTCCTTGTGTATCTTCTGTCGATGCCATACGCCCCTGTGAAGATATATTCATGCTAGATGTTTATATTTTAAATTAATGTTTGTTTTAAATTATATGGTGAATTACAGTCTCAGTCCTGGATCAACAACCTCTACAACCTCAGTCCTGGTTCTACAGCCTCAGTCCTGGATCTACAGCCTCAGTCCTGGATCAGCCGCCTCAGTCCTGGTTCTATAGCCTCAGTCCTGGATCTACAGCTTCAGTCCTGTATCTACATCCTTGGTCCTGGATCTACAGCCTCTGTCCTGGATCTACAGCCTCAGTCCTGGTTCTACAGCCTCAGTCCTGGTTCTACAGCCTCAGTCCTGGTTCTACAGCCTCAATCCTGGATCTACAGCCTCAGTCCTGGATCTACAGCCTCAGTCCTGGATCAACAACCTCAGTCCTGGATCAACAACCTCTACAGCCTCTGTCCTGGATCAACAGCCTCAGTCCTGGATCTACAGCCTCAGTCCTGGATCTACAGCCTCAGTCCTGGATCTACAGCCTCAGTCCTGGTTCTACAGCCTCAGTCCTGGTTCTACAGCCTCAGTCCTGGATCTACAGCCTCAGTCCTGGTTCTACAGCCTCAGTCCTGGATCTACAGCCTCTGTCCTGGATCTACAGCCTCAGTCCTGGATCTACAGGCTCAGTCCTGGATCTACAGCCTCAGTCCTGGATCTACAGCCTCAGTCCTGGTTCTACAGCCTCAGTCCTGGATCTACAGCCTCAGTCCTGGTTCTACAGCCTCAGTCCTGGATCTACACCCTCAGTCCTGGATCTACAGCCTCAGTCCTGGATCTACAACCTCAGTCCTGGATCTACAGCCTCAGTCCTGGATCTACAGCCTCAGTCCTGGATCTACAAACTCAGTCCTGTATCTACAGCCTCAGTCGAGAATCTACAGCCTCAGTCTTGGATCTATAGCCAATCTCTCTCTCAATTTGGGCGTCCCTGAGGTTTCTAAAATAAAATTCCCACTTTTTTAGTTTTTTTTTGACCCTCCTGTTTCTAAGGACATTATTAATCCTGGAGATTTAGGGACATTTATGCACATTTAAAAACATTTATGGGCATCGGTAATCCTGCTCCCTATTACTTTGAAAATCCTCCGAGACAATGGCTGTTGTGATTTAGGGCAACACAAAAACAAAGGGATTTGAATTAAATCAATTTACCAAGTTCATTGAAGCTGTCTCCTTCTTTCCAGTTGGCGGGCAGGGTGCCAGTGTGATCTACGATGTTACGCTTTCTCGGCTTCACATTCTGGATGTTCACAAACAGTTGGTTGTTTTTTGTCTAGAATGACAAACATCATGATAAAGAAAATCCTTAAGTGAATCCTTCAAGCGATATTATTGTAATGTAAATCATACCTGCACATTGTTGACGAGCGCTGGGTTCATACATTGAGTCAAAGTGTGGTAGCTTGGGTTGGAGAAGTAGTTACTGGGGTGTCCCTCAAACGGCGGATGGGCTTCTGATAAACCTAATTGACAAAAGCATATTTGATCTGTTGTTATAATCAAATATTGTCTTCTTACTTTTAAGTACCTACCTCCAATTGAGTAATCAGCTGTGATGCGCATGGCTGGAGTATAAGTGACAGCCGCCATGGTGGGCTCTTTGCCTTTCTGTTTCTTTCGATAGATGATGAACAGGAGGAGGAGGAAGATGACCAGCAGCACCAGAATGATAATGCCAGCAATAGCTCCAATCTGATATGTGTCTGCGTGTATGGCTGCGCTGGTTAAACTGTTCAGGCTGCCCACCACTACACCAGCTGCAGGATGAAGATATTTAATTATTTCTATGAACACATTTCGCATACCCTTTTGCAGAACACAAGTCCGAGTGTTGTTAGATACTTGCCCTGGTCACAGCGAGCTCCTTTCCAGCCAGGGTTACAGTAACACGTGCCGGTCATGTGATCACAGGTGGAGTTATTAAGACAGTCGCACACCTGACGACAGCCGTAGCCATATGAACCTGATGGACATTCTGAAAACAATAATAATAATATATATATATATATATATATATTAAAACCACATACACTTAGATTTGTATAACCTACAAATCTCTAATTGTTAAGCATGTACGTACTCTGCTCACAGTGTCGCCCCATGAAGCCTGTGCGACAAGTGCATTGTCCGGAAATGTGGTCACAGTCAGCACCATTCCTGCACTGACAAGTCTGAGAACAATCTTTCCCGTAGAAGCTCAAAGGGCAGCCTGGGAGAGAAGGGACATCAACATGTTTTACTGTTGTGAATATTTTTTATTTAATATCTATTCGATAATAATGTGCAGTAATATATTTATTTACTAAAGACTACACCACACTTATACAGGCAGTTATATGAATCAAATATAATCCCATTAGTCCAGTTCTTGTCTTCTTGTGACTTAGAGACTAGACTTTAAAAGCAGCTCTGCTTGTGTACAAGTCTCCGGGCTAGTGTCATATAAACAAACTCGGACTCTGAGAAGCACAGGGACTGGCCTCCTGCTGGTGCCCAGAGTCAAGTCTGAACATGGGGAGGCATGTTTAATGTTTTTTTCTTGTTTTGTTAAGCACTTTGAGTTGCCTTGAGTATCAACTGTGCAAAACAAAAAAATCTGCCTTGTCCTATCTGAGGCCCAGCGGTCTTCTCACTTACGCTGAGTGCAGTAAAGGCCAGTCCATCCGGGCATACATTTGCACTCTCCGTCATACGCACTGCAGTAGGCTCCATTGTGACAGTTACATGTGTGGATGCAGTTGGGACCCCACTGACCAGGAGGACATGCTGCAAAACATGTAGTAAACATGTAGTAAACATTGTAAGAGCAGATCACTTAAATCCTACAGTGCAGCATAGATGTGGAAAAGTCTTACGCTGAGAACAGTCACTTCCGATCCACCCAGGGTAACACTGACACGACCCGTCTATAGGATTACAGGTCCCATTGTTTGTGCAACTGCAGCTCCAAGCACAGTTTTTCCCAAAGCGACCACTCGGACACACTGTCAAATCCAACACATTATTTTAATTTCTCGTAAATAAGTGTTCACAGCCTCTAAGTTTGCGTACCTTCATTGCACAGGGCCCCCTTAAAGCCTGGCAAGCAGTCACACTGTCCTGAGACGTGGTGGCATGGTCCATTGCTGCGAGAACACTGGGGGCAGGTCTGACTGCAGCGGTGGCCGAAGTACCCGGGAGAGCAGACTGGAATGTACGTCATTAGAATGAGCCCAACATCACCTTCACCAGCGCAAGTGCATTTAGTGGAAACATTGCTACTCACCCTTCTGACAGGTGGTGTCTCTGTACCCAGGAGCGCACTCACACGTGCCTTCATCCGGAGAGCAGGACGCACCGTTCTTACAGATACAGGAGAGCGAGCAGTTCGGGCCCCAGCGGCCCTCAGCACACACACTGTCACAGTGAATACCTGCACACAAGACATCACAGCTTACGGCAAACTGTCGTCAAATAACACATAATACTATCCTGATGGCAGTGGCCCAGTTGGTAGACTATTGGCCTTTAAGCCTGAAGGTCGTGGGTTCGAACCCACAAAAAGACCTCCTTCACGGCTCCTACTGATGAGTGTTTTATAAAGATTTTGGAAAACTTGATTTATATCTTAGAAAAGTATGCTGATTCTTACGATGCCTTACTCTATTCTCTACTTTTGACTGTTTGCACCAAGAGCCAAATCAGTTTCCTAGTCTGTGACGTCCTGTTACTTACATGGCAAAAAAATGATTCTGATTCTGAATAAAGATGTAAAATCATGTTAATTCACAAAATGTTCACTCTACTGAGCTGTCTTTCTTCGAACAAAGCCCCTCTTGGCTCCCTCTCATTCGTCTTTCTTTTCAAAGCAGCAGGAGACTACAGAGAAGAAGAGCCCTGAGTAGCAGGTACAAAGGCCTCTTTCAAAGTTTTGTGTTCATGTTGCTATGCAGAATTGCCTGCTATCTGCAATTCTGCAATCCTGAAACTTGGACAGGTTTAGAAAAGTCAAGAAACTAACAGATCCAAAATACATAAAAAAGAAACAAAGTTTCTCCTTTTTATTCACAACATAATAGTAACTAGAAAAGCACTCAGGGCACGCTGTTGTGGCTCACTTGACCATAACTTTTTGAGTCATGTTGCTAGGTAACTAACAGACAAACCTTGATGAAAACATAAGTAAATACCTGTCCATCCTGCCAAACAGCGACAGTGACCAGTGACGTGATCACAGCCATCAGCATGGCTGCAGTCACAGCGCTCTCTGCAGTCCAGGCCATACGTCCCGTCCTGTAACAGCAAACAAACACCTTTAAAATATGATCTGCTTTTTTCAATCAGACTGTAGGAGAGCCGACTCACCGGGCAGTGAATGTCACATCTGTCGCCTCTCCAGCCCGGGGCACAAGTGCAGTCTCCATTTAAGGCATTACAAGCACCCTCATTTCCACACAAACAGCTATGGTTACAACCCAGACCCCATCTTCCACTGGGGCAGTTGATAGAGCAGTCCACTCCATGCCACCCTGAGAGAGCGTAAAACAGACACTTCAAAAAGGATCAACAGGTTGGACGTCAGTGGTCTTCACTGTCTCGCTGCTCACCTGGCTGACAGGAGCAGGAGCCGTCCACGGAGGAACACTGAGCTCCGTTCTTACAGTTGCAGCTGGAAGAGCAGTTGATTCCATGGGTTCCTGTGTGACAGGGCACTGTGCAGTTGGGACCCTGGTGAAGGTTAAATGTGATCACAGTTTCACACAATACAAAGGTTTTTTATTGTTTGAATATCTCAGTTTACCATGAATCCTGGAGCACAGACACACTGTCCTGTAACGCTGTGGCAGTCCGCCCCATTCTGACACTGACAGACTTGTCGACATAACTCCCCAAAGAACCCTGGCGTACAAGTCTCATTACAGTAGAGTCCAGACCATCCAGGGAGACATGTACATTCACCAGACATTGGCTGACACCTGACAATACACAAGAGTAAGAATTAAGTAGGTAGAACTTATATGGAGCTACTTTTGGAGAAAACACTAAACTAAAGCAAGTAGACTAAAAAAACAAAAATATTTATAAGTATGAAATGCCTTCCCAAACCAGTACAGTTAACTGTTTGCAGTTGCCCCCAGCAGGTGGAGCCCTACTGCTACATAGAAAAAACATGTCTTTGTCCCCACACAACTGCTGACAGCAGCTGTAGTTACACAGCAGAGGCTTTGAGATGGACATATGGACTTGAGTGTCACACTTGTTAGATTGCAGCTGCTTGACAAGCGATTAACCAACTCCAAAAAACTTGAGTTTCACCACAATATACAAAGCCCCCCTATCTTCCACCTGACATCAACATAAACTTAAGTTATAAAGAAGTTCAAAGCGTGTATAAGCCCAAATCTGAGCTAAAACAAAAGTCTATCCTTTTATTTTGTTGGAGTTTCACTCTAACACTTTCAATATTCTTGATTGCATATTACACAACAGCAAAGCATTAAACTAATGCATTAAAGTCAATTTCCCATGAAGAATGATCTGTTTAATGCCGTTAAACAGATCATTAAAGTAATGCTATCAAGTAGATGGCTAATCACTAATTAATTTGTGGGAATTATTGGGGACCTGGAACACATCTGCGATCCAGGGTCCTGCTCCTGGAGGTCTCCAAGTTGAGAACCATAGTGTTTCACCAACAGAAAAAGGACATACCTGCGTGTGTTGTGTGCGGCGCAGGGGCACTTCTTGTCGCACTTGAGTCCGTAGTAACCGTCCCGACAGAGTCTGGTCTCACACATGTCTCCAGTGTAGCCCGGTTCACACAGACACATGCCGTTAGTGTGGTAACATCTGCCGTTGTTCTGACAGCGACACTTCTTACTGCAGCCAGCGCCATAAGTGCCCACAGGACACTGGTCCTGGCAACTGTGAACAAGACAACACAACATGAGCAACATGAAAAGACAAAGTTGAAATCATACTTTGGAGAATTCTCCATGAAGAATTTTCTTTTTCTTTTTTCTTTTTTCTTTTTTTTTTTTTACACAAAACTATGGTGTAACAAAGCCGAACACTTTTCAAAACATATTACAATCCGTTTATTGTCATTGTAAAAAACAGCCATGTCCAATGAGCCACAGGCTAACAGCCCACTTCCTTGCTAACCCAAAGACAGTGATTTTAAATTTGACAAGCAGGTCAACAGTGTTTTAAAATCGAGTTTTTATCATCTGCGGCTTTTATCCAAGGTTAAAACTTTTTTATCTTTTAACCTTTTTGAAAAAGTTATGCACGCTTTTATTTCTTCACGTCTGGACTACTGTAACGCACTCTACTCCGGTATTTCACACAAGGCACTTCACCGGCTACAGTTAGTCCAGAACTTTGCGGCACGGCTTTTAACAGGAACCAAAAAGCGCGACCACATCACTCCCGTCCTTGCGTCCTTGCACTGGCTTCCTGTTCATTTTAGAATTGATTTTAAGATTTTATTGTTTGTTTTTAAAGCTCTGAATGGACTGGCCCCTCCTTACATCTCGGACCTCATCCAGATTTACCACCCGCCCCGCGCACTGAGGTCCGAGAGCCAGCTCCAGCTCGTGGTGCCTAAGACGAGACTTAAAACCCGGGGGGACAGGGCCTTCTCTGTGGCTGGACCAAAGCTCTGGAACGCCCTGCCCCCCCACGTCAAAACAGCTCCCTCGTTGGAATGTTTTAAGTCACGTCTTAAGACCCACTTTTATTCTCTGGCTTTTAACACCGCGTGAGTCGTGTGGTCCTCTGTGTTTTTATTTTATTTTATTTATTTATGTATTTTCTTATATAAATGTGTGTATTTATTTATTTGTTGCAATTTTGCATGTTGTGCAGCACTTTGGAAACTGCGTGTTTATGAAATGTGCTATATAAATAAAGTGGATTGGATTGGATTGAAAGGAGCCATTGAGATCTTCTCCCAAAGTTCAGAACATCATCCAGCCAACTTCAGCCCCATCAATATAGACATGTATTGATACATGTATTGATACATCAATATAGACAATAATTTTAAATTTACATTTATTCTTTAGAAGTGTTTTTTATTCTTATTTTTATTATCTCTTTTTGACTGTTGCACTGAGCCAAAGCAATTTCCAAGTCTGTGACCTCCTGTTACTTACGTGGCAATAAAAATGATTCTGATTCTGATTCTGATTCTGATGTTCTACGTTGCTGTAAATCCTACTCATTTACTACATTTATTTTTGATTGTTTCACAAAATTTTATGTATGGCTCTACTTTAGCTAGTGAGTAAACCTTTGTCATTCAGCCAACTTCTGTCTGTTAAGTGAATGCACATTTGGTGACTTCTTCTTATCGCCAAAACATGTTTACTCCAGAATGTGTTCGCCTCAAAAGTTTATGGCCAGGAAATATGAAACAAGGAACATATTATTTATTAACTTTTCTGAAATTGTCTGTGTCTGTGTTAAATGGGTCAGAGGGAATTTTATAAATGTTTTCTTTATCCAAAAAAGTGTGTGCGTGTGTGTGTGTGTGTGTGTGTGTGTGTGTGTGTGTGTGTGTGTGTGTGTGTGTGTGTGTGTGTGTGTGTGTGTTTGTGGAGTGGCCATTCTGTTGTCGTCCCAGGGCAGCTGCGACTACAACAGTAGCGTTTCACCCCATGTTTTTCAAATGAACTAATCACTATCTTCCAAATGAATATCTATAGACTTGTAAGGTCAGGGTTAAAAGTAAAACCTCTGAAGTGTTTTGTAGGTTACTAAATGTCATTGATGGTTTTGTGTCCGTGTTTTTATTCCCTGTTTAAATAAAGCAGCAAATGGAGCAAACAAGAGTCCTAAAACGTCTTTAAAAAGCTCACAAAGGCTTTCTTATATTTCTGTTTGCGCAGCGTACACACAGTCGTCCAAGCAACCACAAAATCAAGCAGGATACACAACTCAAACACTCAAACCACTCATTTTCAACGGGCCTAAAAGTCATGGAACTATAACAGAATCGCTACGGGGGCTTCCACTCAGTTGTAATTCATATTCTCTCTATACTTTCAGCAATATAGTTCCTCTAAATCAGCAGCACAACTCATTTCCTAGTTTTGTCCTCCTGCAGGGCAAATTATAGCCAGCCCATCCACAGAGTGACCCGTTAATGGATTTCAGTGGCTTAGGGAGTGGCGGCGGTGACCCAGTTCCTCGCAGCGCTACGCCATGACGTCTGGCTTCCCTCAAACTCTTATTTACTTATAAAGAGCCCATGGAGCGGCTATTCCTGTTCCGTCATTGGTCAGCCTAAGTATATGGTGGCTGCTCTTCAACATTGTTAATTATATGGACCGACAGCCTGTTTGCATGTGTCTATGAAAACACTGAGTAAGCGCCGCCGATGTTTTCCTCCAAACTATTGCCTTCGATACGTATTTCAAAGGTGTGTGAATCGGGTGAATCATGAGTCGATCGATTGATTTATTGATTTTATTAATTAAAGCGGAAATTTTACATTCATAAGTATTCACAACATTTACATTCCTTAGTTTCTGTGCTACTGTACTTACAGTATTAGCCTGGCCTTAGCCATTCGTTCACTCCGCTCGATCATCATTTTCCAGCATTTAACGTTTGGGTCTGGTCCCTGTGTTTGCGATAAGAATCGGTTGAATTCCATCTGACCAATCAGCGAGCACGGGAGGCGGATGTTGTAGTTACTTGTGGGTGACGTCAAGAGTTTGCACTGAACGGGCAGGTTGTAGTTTGGCAATGGCGAAGAATGCGATAGTAAAGTAATCCGGTCTGGTTCTATCAAGAAATTGAAGCTGGAGCAAGAGGAATGTTTAGCAAATGTAATTGCTGGAAAAGATTGAGGCGCTACACCCCACGGGCTCCGTTAGCGGCAAAGGAGATGGCTAGGCTAAATGCTAAATGCTAACGACTCACTCGGGCGCAGTACAAACGTCACGGTAAACTCAGATCCAATTGTTTCAATCTGCAAAAGAAGTTAACCCCTCCCACTTGTAAACGGAGCTCAATGGAGCACCTCCAGACCTTAGTACGAAATGTCATTTGTACTGTGGTGTGGTACGACCAGGCTATTACAGTATATACCTACACATGCAAATATATATACATAAAGGTGAAGTATTTTTAACTGTTTTTTTGTATTTTTAAAGTTTTTAAAATGTACTTTTTACTTGTACTGTATGCAAGGCAATCTTGAGTGTCAAGAAAGGCGTCTAAGAAGTAAAATGTATAATTATACTATCATGAATACAATCAAGCAAATGTATTGAGTGGGAGTGGGATAGAAGTAAAAACATGTAGACTCCCATCCCATGAACATATCGCAAATCATATGTTACACTCCCTGCAGGCCCAAACTCAGGCCTTTGGGCTAAATGTGTCCAATTGTATCATTGTATGTGGCCGACATAAAGTAGTGACTGAGGGTCTTTCCCAGCGTCATCCAGCCAACTTCAGCTTCTCCAATATAGTCGTGCGATTGTCGAAAATCTCAGAACTTGAGGAATACAGTCGTTATTTGTATATACTGACATTTATTTTCAATTGTGTCACAACATTTAATTTGCGGCACTAATGTAGCTTTGGTGTGAATCAATATGGACGCATCATACCCTATTTTAAAGCCAGACTCCAGTCAAAACAGTTTTATAATTTATGTTATCCGCCCCTGGACAGGTCTGGTTAACCAAAATGAGCCTAACCTCTGAGTCTAGAGTTTGGGTTAGGACTTCCTCATATTGATAGCAAGAAAGAAAGAAATTATAGATAGATGTAAATACAGATAGACAGTTAGATAAATAGATAGATTGACAGATAGATATATAAATATATAGAAAGATAGATAGATAGCAGACTTTCGCAGTACAAGTAAAGGTACATATTGATGTTTCCTCACCGCTCTCCAGTGTATCCCGCCCGGCACAGACACTGTCCCGTCGTGGCCACACAAAAGCCATTGTTATGACATTGGCACTCATGGGAACAGTTTTGTCCAAATCTTCCCTCAGGGCAGGGCTGACCACACACTGTACCCTGAAAACAAACACATGCAATAGCTTCAGGAAGAATGTTATATGACCAACAGCTGAATAAGTGAAAACATAAAGTTCATGAATTTAAATGAAAGATAATAGAGTTGTTTTTCTACAATCTTGATTCGATTTCTGACCAAGGGCAACAATGAATCAATGAATCAATACGTCGCTGCTCCAGGGCGGATTGTTTTTTACTGTACAGATCGACAGATTTCTCATCATTTGTGGTTAATTTACTCCATGAAAAGGTCACATCACTCTTGTGGATAGAAGTACGTTTCGACGGATAGAATTTGGTGCTATCCTCGGATCAAATTGACCCGCCTCAGTGATTAAAGATTATTCACAATATATATATTTTTTAACTGAATGTTGATGGTTTTTCCTAACTTGACCAGCCCTGGGTCATTTAAACCCTTTTAGACCCTAATGTGGGATATTATCCTTCTACTCTTAATCCTCTGTGGCGGGTAATTTTGACCCAAGGATAGACCAAGAGTTAAGTTTGGGGCAGTATGAGATTTAAAAGAACATAATGCTGATTCATTCTTAATGGTTGTGTTCATGTTGCAGAACTTCTTTTCAGTTTATTGAAGGTGCCAATTGAAAAGAAAAGAAAAGACAAATTGAGATTCTTATCCATGCATTTGTCTCCAGTAGGTTAGACTACTGCAATGGCCTGCTCACAGGTCTGTCCAAACAGGCTGTAAAACAGCTGCAGTACATTCAAAATGCAGCAGCTCGAGTCCTGACTAGAACCAGGAAGTACGACCATATTAGTCCGGTCCTCAGGTCTCTGCACTGGCTTCCTGTGGCTCAGAGAATAGACTTTAAAACAGCTCTGCTTGTGTACAAGTCTCTCCATGGCCTCGCACCAAAATATATTCGTTAGTATGTTAGTCCCATATGAACCAGCCCGGACTCTGAGGAGCACAGGGACTGGACTCCTGTTAGTGCCCAGAGTCAGAACTAAACATGGGGAGGCTGCTTTTCAGATTCATGCTGCTAAAATCTGGAACAGTCTTCCTGAAGATGTGAGACAGGCCTCCTCGCTGACAATGTTTAAAACCAGGTTGAAAACAGTCCTGTTTAGCTGTGCATACAACTGAGGGATTTTATATTTTTATCTTTCTTTTAATGTACTGTGATTATTTATGATTTTAATGCTATCTTGTTGAGCACTTTGAGTTGCCTTGTGTGTGAATTGTGCTATACAAACTTGCCTTGCCTTGCCTTGCCAATACAATTTGAAAGAGAACATTTCCAAATGACTTTTCAGCTGTCCCCGACCACAATTTTAAACTATAGTTTCTTTGGAAGTTTGTGATGAACACAACCTACTACAGGCTCTCAGACTTCCAACCCTGTCTGGGAGCTGCCTCAGTCCTCGTTCTCCAGCCTGAGTCCTGGATCTATGGCCCATTCATTTGTGGGAGTGGATTTTTTCCACTTTTTCCCCCACTATGTTTTGTATTCTTTTTCCTTGTAGATGCAGGGATGCAAGAAGGTCTAAGGACTGTGGTGATGATCCAGGACATTTAACAAAATGTACGAACATTAATGAACATTTATGGACGTTAGTCATCCGCCCCTTTTGGACCAATGACTCTCTGATCTGAGCTGGCGAATCGACAACTTGATAAAGTCCTCCAAGATAACTACTGTTGTGATTTAGGGCTTTACAAAAATAAATTGAATTGAATTGAATTAAATAAAAATAATTATCCTATCAGAAAGCAGACTTAGCATCATCTGTTGCTAGTTTTTTGGTGAAATCCATTTGGTTTTGTTTCTACCTAAACCCAAGAAGGTGATCAGGCAACAAAGATTTGAAATGCTTTTGTAATGACTTTATTAAACAAGTACAAGCGCACCTTTACCAGAATTAATCACATATCATATTATTGAACAGTCAAATGCATGTGTGCATACGACATTGTTTTTGATTTCGTGTCACGGTGTCTCAATAGTATCTGTTTTTATGTGTGAACACACTCAATATCTGCAGCTGCTGGTGTTTAGAGAATAACAGGATTTCATTCTTTAAAAAAGACTCATGTGAGGCTCATTCTGCTCACTGTTTGGAAACACAACTTAAAATGTGAGCATAAACACTGTGGCCATCATTACTCTGTTTTGAAAGTAAGAAGATATCAGCATTTAAATACTGATATAAATGTTTATACTCTGTATATGAGAACATGAACCAGCAAAGAAACGGCACATTCTGTCACAGAATTCTTAACTGACCTCCAGTTCAATTTGAATAAATACAAATGTAGGCTTTCTAGGATGTTGTGATGTCACATCTGTTCACACAGTTAAAGGGATATGACAGATACTGTGATTTCCTTATACAGTAGATATTATTCTCATTACCTCCACCGAGGGTATGAAGTGATCACTGTCGTTTGTTTGTTTGTTTCTCTGTGAGCAACATGGGAGGATCTGGACAAAATTTCCAAGAAACACACGCAATGGGTGAACAACTGATTCGATTGTGGGCTTGCTGTCTAGGGCTGGTTTTGACAGGGAATGGAATTGAGCCGGAGGTCTGCTCTCTGAGTGCATATAGTTATTATTATGATATCGTAGTGAAGAGTAGACATACCGTCCAGCCCACGGGACAGGAGCACTCTCCGGTCACGTGATGACAGATCCCTCCGTTTTGACAGGGACATCTCTCCTCACACTGCTGCCCGTGTTTACCAGGAGGGCAGAGGTCTTCACAGCTACAGGGGAGATGATGATCATCACCAATCATGTTTCAAGTGAGTTAGTGAGTGATTAGAATGTGCACTTACATAGCTCCTGTGTATCCTGGAGCACACTTGCACTCTCCGGTCACATGATGACAGGACGCAGCATTCTGACACTGGCACTTCTGCTGACAGCTGCTGCCGTAGGAGCCGGCGTCGCACTGGGCCTCACAGCGCCACCCTCTGTACCCCGGAGTGCACAGACACGCTCCCGTGATGGGGTTGCACAGACCTCCGTTCTTGCACTGGCATCTGTTGCTGCAGTGTGGACCCCAGTGGTCACTGTCACATGCTAAAAACAACATATAAATGTTAATCCTTGTTTTAAGTCCTTTCACACCGAATCTGACGGTACGTCACGCGTGAGACCATATTCCCTTTCACCGTCCTTTAACATGAGAGGCTCAGATTCTCTGAATCTCTTATCAGAGAGTTATCAGGTTATCACTGGTTCAAGGGAGATTTTCCCACGTGTGTAATGCTTACAGTAGAAATTCTCTTTCAGCTCCTCTTAGGTTATAATATTAAGAAACTTTAACTTTAACTTGTAATTGAAAAGCTCCATATAAACCTTGCAAACAAGCAAATGCTTATTTATCTTAAATCTGTTTCCAGAAAGGTCAACCCACTCAGTCATGCTCATAAACACAAACAGCTTAAAGGGAAACTTGTCATGATCCACTTTGTCAAGGCCTAATTTACTGTGTGCTTACAGGCTTGACCTGCACCCTCCTCATTAACTGAAACTAACACATCCAACACAGAGACCATATTTTCTCAATGGGACTTTCCTGCTTAATAAAGGTCAGAGGGGAAATACAGGAATATAGATTGTATATCAGATCTGTTAAATGAACTGAATTCCCAGTGGAACAAAGTAAGACCATATGGGAGTCATCATATTGACTTTCAGGTTTAACTAGATGGTTGAACGATTATGATATTTTTATGAATTCGGTACTAAAGTATGACTTCTCTATAGACTCCAGCAAGACATTATTCTTAGGCACACATGTCAGACTACGTCCTGCAGATCATAAGGTTAAGTTGAATAGGATTTTATAAACACAAACATATATCCTGTGTCACGTGAGAGCCTCTGTTTGTCGGACCAGTTCAAGTAACTAAGGCTCTTTATCCAGATGCATTAGTCTGACCCAGTATAAAACATGCACACAGAGTTTCCTGAGGCGGTCCTGAACTATCCCGTCCCGGGACCGAGCTGCGCGGACAATGTGAGGGGGAGGAGATTAGATACACTTGGAAACTCTCTGCCATCCTGGTACCTTTGTGAAACCTGACCTAGATTGAAGAAAGGCCAAACTCCAGGAGCTGGGGGCTCCTCAGTCCCTCTCCTGAGAACAGCCTGTTTCCTTTCAACAGCCCATTCAAGCTGGCAGCCAGAAAAAAACAGCAGCGGAACAGTCACATGAGGCATCGTTTTTACCCACAGCTCAACTCATTTAGGGTGAAATATTTTCTTCAGACAAAATATATCAAAGGACAGTCAGATCGTCATTATGATGATCTAAATGGGACAATTAATTCCAATGACTGAACCACATAAGTAAAGTCACACAATAAGAGATGAGAAAACCACCGCTCTAATACCTGGCATCAAAATTACCCCTTAATTCTTGAGGTAAAAGTACGATATCCTGTATACCACTAAAACTATTACACAGTTGTTGATATGTTTGTCCAGATTGCTCAGTGCACAAGTTGGCAGTGGCTGTGTGCTGGCTCTGGAAGCTGGCGGCACTTCCCCAACACCAGTGTGCGCTCATGGGAACCCAAAAGCCTCTCACACTCATACTCCGAAATTCAGCCAGGAAAAAAAACATCTGTAGCATTCTTTATTTTCCCAAAAGGGCTTTCTCTGATAGTGGACACTAAGGACTTCTTGACTCAAAACACAACACTGACAAGACAGCGGCAGCCCACTCACTGCTGTACTTGAGATCTCCTGAGCATCTTGTGTTGTTGTCATGTGTACTAAATCACAAGCTCCAAAGCCCGGGGATATTTCCAACCACACAAAATTCTATTGCTATTCTATTATTCCTGCTCACCCCCCACGCACATCCTCTATCCCCGTTTCCTGTTCTTGGTCCCCAAATTGATTCTCAGACATATTGTAATGGCTCAGTGACCTGTAAAATGAGGCTTATCTGGAGGACTCTTGAGGAAATTAAAGGCATTCTGCTTGACCTAATGTCTTCATTGTGGGAATATCTTGGTGATCTGCTGATGTTTTTTATCTGTATGTTACAAACTATATTGTAATGTTATCAGCAAGAGTCCAATGAGAATCTAATATTTTTAACATCTGTTGACTACAGTATTTTCTGCACTAACTGAATTTGAAGAGAAAGTGCATTGTGTCCACATATAAACCACACTTGAATATAAGCGCCAGGTTTTCATGTAGTAATGTAACACCTAACCAACAGCTGATGGAGCAAAACAATGTACTTTTGACTCGCAAAGAGTAAAATGACTCTGGTGAAACTAATCTCCTTCGTCAATAACATTCCTACTAAAACTTGGTTGGAGTCAAAAAAAAAAAAAAAATGCTATGTTTCATTTTTGTCAGCCAATTGTTAAAAAAAATAACAATCAAACTCCAAAGAACAAACAAAAGTTGAGATTTTCTTTTGAAAGAATTATTCAAATAAATTTGAATCTAGACCATGAGACCTTATACCCCCCGAGCAGCATCCACCCTTTAGATTTTATTTCCTTTGATCTTACTCTGTTCAGAGAACGTTCCTATTTATATTCGAGTTAAAATTAATCAGCGGCAGAAACTAAAGCTATTCTTCCATTTGTATGTTCTCCAAGGGTCCTACAGCATTCTCTGTTGTTTTAGAGAAAGTCGGTAGAATGCATTAGTTACAAAGTCGTTGCAGCCCTGAGCGCCACATCCTGACAGTGAACCAGAGTCCTGTTTATAAAAGAAGCACAAGTTTATTTGATAAAGAAGATACTGTATTACCATGGAGTTGGTGTTTTTGTGATTTGAATTGCCTTCAGATTTGATCATTTCCGTAGTTGTTTATAGCAGGGACGTGGAAGCAGACCGACAGTGGGTCAGAATCAGAGGAGCCCAGTGATGCCCCAGGCCCAACAAACAATACCCTGCTTCATTTCAGGCTGAAACCAAAGACAGCGGGCACACCCTGTGGGCTCCTCACATCAGCATATAAACCTCTGGAGATGATGCATTTACTGCCTTCTAGCAAAAATAGGCCTCAGAAAACTCGTGCAGTCCAAACAAAACAACTATACAACATAGATTAAGCGCTACAATGTCAAACAAGTGAGTTCAGCAGCAACATTAAACATTGACAGCTGGTTATGGAATAGCGATTACTCGCTATTATGGGCCATTAGTTTATCTTCACAAATGGTTTAATCAGCGACTAAATATAATTGTTTAAGTAGCGGAAGTTCTGCAGCTGTTGGGCTGGGCACATGTAGAGTCATCGATCACGGTTCTGTCTGGAATAATTTAATTGTCAAACAAAGCCACACTGATGGTTTTTGACACACCGGACTTGGTACTCACAGACAGCTGCCCAAAAGAAGATTATTATTATCATTGTGATCATACAGGGGCAATGTTGGCTGTTGTACCATTTTCTATATGAAATAGGAAGTGTTACTCATAGCAACCTTCAATTTCTCAAATAGCTCGTGTTGAATGCCTTTTTAAGTATTGGAAATGTTGCCTTGATTGCTTCTCTTTCACGTTATATTTTACAGAGAGTGTATCTTTCAACCAAGACAATGGATGAGCACGCACTATAAAGGAACAAAGCCACAGACGTAAAACGATCCTTGAGTCTGTTTTCCTTTTTGTGAATTCAAAGTGCTTTCACAGACACAGGGTCCCACACAAACAGGGCGGCTCACAGACAGCAGCAGCTGGAGAGACTTACCACTGGAGCAGTTGGAGCCCCCCCAGCCCGGCTCACACTGGCAGGTGTTGGGGGCCATGCAGCGGCCATGGACACAGCTCTCCTCACAGAAAGCTGAAAGAGAAACAAACAAGAGACGCAAAGCATATCAGAACTCACATTAAACAGTACGTAACGGTCAAGACTCCGTGGGTCAATAAATATACATAAGAAAACACATCTGTACATTTGCAACCTTGGATTTTGTATGTTAACATTTAATTTTGGTAATCTTCATACTATTTTGGAGAGCATGTTATTTCATTATTTTAATAGAAATACAAAAGAATATGCATTAATATTTTCTACTTTGTCAGAGAGAAAGAGAAAGAGAGAGAGAGAGAAAGAGAGAGAGAGAGAGAGAGAGAGAGAGAGAGAGAGAGAGAGAGAGAGAGAGAGAGAGAGAGCGAGAGAGAGAGAGAGAGAGAGAGAGAAAGAAAGAGAGAGAGAGGCCATGTTTGGTTTGTCGTTTGGTTATTGGTTATATGGCTAGGAAGACTACGAGTTGCAGCATTATTATTATAATAAGTTGTAACCCGCACACCTGCAGCCTCAAGAACTGGTGAGCCACAAGTTAGAAGGGATACAGATTAAACATGTTCCACTTTAAAATCGCTTCTAACTCCAATTATCTTAAAAGTATATTGCTAGCACACTCTACTCATTCATTCATTTCATTTAGGTCGTGGAGCCTAAACAACATCTGCCATTATACTGCAAGAATCTATGGAAGATGCTATGATCCAAAAAGTATACAAGGGGACAATAATATTTCCCTAATTATTAATGTTCTACTAGATTGTATTGATAAACCATTTCAAAGATCTGCTTCGATCCAAAGTCCATATTTTGATCCATTACTGTAACTACTAATTGATTTATGACATACGCAGAAGACGTGTCAGGGATGAAGCAGACAGAGACGGATCGTGGTGTGCCAAACTCTGGAAGTTTATTTAAGTTTCTCTCAAGTTCCACTGGTTTACTTTGTTTCTTTCTCTCAGACAGAATAAAGGCAGTACACAGTTTATATAGTCATTGTCACGTCACACATGGAAAGACATACGTGTCACAAAGAGACAGTCAAATCATAGTCATAACATGGAGTCCTTGTAGAGTCCTTGTACAGTCCTGCACGTAGGCCATATTGCGATCTAATACTAACACCCTCCCCTTTGATCACATAATCACATGTGATCACTCAAATCAATCAATCAATAAAGTTGAAAAAGAAAAAAAAAATCCCAAAAAAAACTTTAAAAAATTATTAAAAACAAAGAAAATGTATGCATTAAACTCATAATCATCAAATCAATATCAGTGGAATTTATCCTCTATCCTGGGAAAAAAACAAACAAAAACAAAGTGAATAAATAAACAAATCAAATCAAAAATAAAAACAAACAAAAACACTATTGGACACACAAGAACTCAGCAGATTCAGTCAAAACACAGACGAAAACGAGCTGTGTCTCAAATTAGAAGCTAATTTCACTTTTCTTACTCTATACTTTTATTCTAATGCTGATTGTTTACACTTCACTTCACTTATCAATCTTAGACTGTGTACTTTACTTTTACTATCACTATAGTTTAAAACTATTCTAATCTATTTACAAATATGTTTACATATTTGCTTTTACTGAGCCATATTCTTAAACATACATTTTAATCTAATACATCTCTCTGTGGTATTATACTCTCATTATCAGTGGCTTTGTGTTAGTGGGATTTTGCTCTGTCTATTCTACATACATTGAATAAAACTGAACACAGAAAGACAAATGGTTCATATGAACATTATTATGGCGGTCAGTTTTCCAAATACATTTGTTGAACCAGGAAGTGCTGTCACTTCCTCCTCTCAGGCAGTTTGGGATGAATGTAATTGGTATTATCCTTACAAGAGCTAATCTATTTTAGCAGTTTTGGGGTTGGGGTTTACAATGGTGTTTGATTCTCTAATCTGTGCTGGCAAATCAACAACTTTTAACTTCTCAAAGATGCTTTTGAATCTCTGTTGGTTGTAATCTATCTCATTAATCTAAGCTACATTCATGAACTTTTGTATTGTCAACATTCACTCATGTGTGAACACAAGTGAATTTGGCAAGTATCTAATAAAACTGTGCATAAACTGTAAGTAACTTTATCTACTTCTGAAGTAAATGTTTGTGAAATGGTCCCTTTACCATTTGATATTAGCACTGGCTGGAAATATTCTCTATTTTTGAAAGCATCTATGGTTGATGCATTTATCTATTTCTATTTCTACACTATTGTGACTCCAAAGCTCGGTTGCAGCTTGAGCAAAGGCATATTTCTAGTTTGTGACTTCTGTCACTTTTAATATCTCTAAAATAACTCTGATTCTAATATTTTAGCTGATCTATCAAAAGGATAACATTGTATGCTACTATTTTAACTCTTACGTGGAAATGTGTTTATGAACAACAAAGGAAATCGAATTCTACTTTTTTACTACTATTTTAACATCTACTAAAACGCTACAATACTCATACTTTATCATTTTCATCCTCTTCAGACGTATGGACCTAATCCAATCACTCAATGTTTTACCATTTATGAAACCATTTTTTAGTTGGTTTTTTATGGTGCCTTCATTCTGGAAATGCCATTTAGCCTCCAGTGCCCTCGCTGAAGACTTTTTCTTCTCATGATCATGTGATTAAGTCAACAACAGAGTTCATTCAAGCTAAAATAAAATCCCCCTCTGAATCCTGGGGCATGTTGTCATAGCTCACAAAACGACATCAAACTTAGATAAACAAAGCTTAATACTTTATCATGACTTATTCTCACTGAAACAACGGCAGAAAGTGTTCCAACGCAGACAACAGTTGTGTTGGCTTATGCAATCTCACACCTGTTAGATGTGGACTTCTAAATAGAGAGAACTCAAGGCAACCCTTACCCCTCATCAGCAAGAAAGTGTAGTTTCTCTGACTTCATAAACCTATTACCTATTAGTTACTTCTAAAGCCTATTATTACTTTAACAAACTATGAACTATATCCATGCTACAATAGAATGGTTCTTATTAACATGCTTTTCTCAGTATGGCTCTGGTCTTGTCACAACATTTTAAACTCAATAAAAAATAAATAAAACAAAAACAATACCAACAGAGATTACATTAAAACAAAAATCTAAATTATTATGGTTTTATCTTGAAGACAGCTGCTCAAGAGGTGTTGTTCTTGTTTTTGTAAATGTATAAATATATACACTAAGGTAAATTGTGACACCACACGTATATAAAAAGCCAGATCCCGTCAGACCTCAGAAGCTAAGCATGGCCGGCCTGGTTAGTAGTGGGATGGGAGACTTTTAGGAACACAAGGTACCACAGTGGGGCGGCTGCGGCTGTAAGGGTCAAACTGTTGTTGTGTTCTTAAGCAAGACACTTCATACACATCGCCTAGAATGAGTCTGGTGTGAATGAATGACTGGTGGTGGTTGGAGGGCCTGTTGGCGCATTTGGGTTGCCTCGCTTCTGCCAGTCTTCCCCAGGGCAGCTGTGGCTACAATATTACCTGATCACCAACATGTATGAATAATGCCATGTGAAGTGTCAAAGAAAACACAATATAATAATGGCTAGCTGACACTTTTTTATTTTGATGCTTTTGACCACCCTACACAGCTCACTCATGATGTTATGATTATAGAGTAGTACTTACGAGCACAGATCTCTCCGTCCTCAAAGAATCCTGGGCAGCACTGGGACTTCCGCCTGTACATGGTCTTCTCCCCTCTGCGATACGCCGTTTTGTAGCTGACTCTGTACCGAGACGAAGGATAAACACCATCAGTATGAATTATTGAATCATGTTTCTAATTGTATAGGAATAAATGCTAAATAGATAAATAAGCCCCGCCCCTCACCTGTGCCTGGTGCATTTGAACCAGTTGAGGATGTCGGTGCAGCTGGTGTAGTAAATCTGATCATAAGGATGAGCATAGGACTCTTGCACTGTCACGGAATAACTGAAAACACAAACAAACTGACATGAAATATGAAGCGGACGCATGTGAATGTATTTTATTAATAATAATAATAATAATGCATCAGTTTTATATAACTCAAAGACGCTTCACATCATTATTCTTTCACTCAATGGTAATAAACTACTACTGTAGCCACAGCTGCCCTGGGGCACACTGACAGAAGCGAGGCAACCAGTCCGTGGCATCGGCCCCTCCGACCACCACCAACCTTTCACACACACACCAGACTCATTCTAGGCAATGGGGGTTAAGTGGCTTGCCTAAGGACACAACGGCAGTTTGGCACTTTACAGCCGCAGCCGCCCCACTGTGGCTGGTGTTCCCAGAGGTTAAGTGTCTTGCCAAGGACACAACAACAGTAGTCAGTGGGAGTCGATGATGAAAGTCTTGAGGTGGTTTCGAACCCACGACCTTCTGGCTCAAATGCCAATGCTCTACCAACTGAGCAACTGTCGCCTCAATTTTGTACATCACATTGGCTACAGAAGGCTTTACTGAAGTTTCCCTAAATCTCTGTCAAATGAATACACTGCAAATATATATATATATATATATATATATATATATATGGTAATAAACACAACAAATGCATTTTTTTATCTAGAAGTTAGTACATAATTTATCTTTATCATTTTATTACAAGGGAGACTTTATGGAATTTATTTGTGTCTTTTTACGACAAGGAATTTTTTCTTTCCTCATTGGCAGGTCCTGGGACAGTCAAAATGTGCTCAAGTTGAGATAAGACAAAAACCATTTTTTGTCTCTTTATCGTCTTTATTATTTAATTAATCTAATATCTGAAATAATATATATTGTTTAATATCTCCTTCATTATCCCTTTGTTCTGCTGTAATTTACCAAACAATTATGATGAAATTTCCCCACTGAGGGACAATTACATCTTTTCTCATCTTACAATACAGAAGATTTCCCTTTGTCCTCTAGTCCCATTATAATTACTGTCAGGTGAATGGTGCTGTACCCTGAAGGTGAGAATCTCATATTATTTGAATTGAATGTCTATCATAAATGTTTACATGCAAAAACCAAAGTAAAAACAAATGAGTAATACTTTTTAATACTTACAAAACGACTTATGTTCAATCTGTTCATTTTTGGGTCACTGTCTTAGTCTGTCCCTGTGTGTTTTATGTGTGCAGCTGTCTCCCAGGATTAGACACAGAGAGTGAATCTATTCGATAAAATTAGCTTGGAATGTAGTTCTTAAACATCAGAGTGGGCTAGTTCCTTTATTGTGGCTTTGGGTGGACGTGCACAGACCTCTCCCAGTGACTGCAGACGTTGGGGTCCTCCAGGTTCAGCGAGGAGGTGATACAAGGAAGAAGGCAGCAGGACACGGCCAAGAGGAAGGCGCGGTGGAAGTAAAGAGCCATCTCAGAGCTGCACCTGTAAACAAGGGTCCAGACACAACACTTTTAAAAAACACGGATTTAAGCTCTTAACAAATCTTTTCCTGATTGGCTCTGGAGCTACGTAAGACATAACAAGAGAAATATGTGTCTCTCATCTCCACGGTGCTATGTTTACCGCAATGACAGAACGCTCTCACTGATTGCGGGCTACACTGGGCCTGTGCGTTTCAAAGATAATGATAAGGAAGACACAAACAAAAGTTCAAAGCTCAATTTCATACGCTGCTAAAAATAATGAGTCTTTAGCATAGACCGTGAATCAGGCCGAGACATTTATCAAATTTTCTGGACCAACTATATGTTTGTCATTATCGCATGTGTTCGAACTGTTTGATTCTCTGATCTGTTGTTGAGGAATTGGCAATGTTGTAAAGTCCTATGAGAAGACTTCTGTTGTGATTGAGGGCGAGATTAGAAGAAACAGACTTGAACTTAAGCTAGCTGTAGCCAAATTCCTTATGTGGGCGTTTCTTGAGTGAATGGAGTGAATGAATAATGCCATGTGAAGTGTCAAAAAAAACAGTATACTAATGATTCATTATTATTATACTTGCTCAAATTAGTAACTAGTTTTAATCGCTTTTGTATTGTTTTATAGCTGATACTTTTTATTGTGATGCTTTTAACCACCCAATTTTGCGGTGTAAGCTTTGCGCTGTAACGAGGGCATGTGTTGCTAAGATGGTTGCTAAGGAAAGCTGGAGATCCCCCCCCTGCGAGTGAAGGCATCTGATAGGTCAATCCTTGTATGGTATCTCGAATAAGGCAATATCAAAGTATAAACACAGGGTTCATAAAGAGTGCAAAACCGCATTTTCTGCATACAACCCAAAATGGTAAATGTGACACAAACATTTACTGAGCTAGAGGGGTTCATTTTTCATTTTTCAGTTAATAGGAGCTAGAGTGAGTTGGAGTAAAACTTTGTCCATGAACACTTCCCTATTGTGTTTTATTGAGCTAGCAGGTTAGCATTGTCCATCTATATACAGCCTATGGTCTCTAGAGAGTCCGGTTGCCAGTGCATTTTTCCACAAATATTCACACAGGTTTATTCATGGTAGATGTGAAACATGGGTGCATAATGTTTAATGTTTGAAATTGACCTTTTAAAATGCAGCACAAAGCCAAATTAAGGAGCTTTTCAGTTTATAGTACAATGTTCTTGCAAGTACTTGTTCTTGTCATAATTGAATAATGTGAAAGGGATGAGAGCTTTGCAATAAAACAATGTTGGATTGAGAGTGGGATGATTTCAACATAACGGGTAGATATTAGACAAATGTTTGATGACTATTGTCTAAAAATGATGTGTCTTTAGCAGAGAGCTTTAGCTACAAGTCCAATGACCCCTTGCTTGATTTGACATTACAAAATTAAGTCATATTGCTGAGAAAAGAGACTCAAAAACAAGACAAACAACTGAGAAATACTTTAAAAACTCAAATATAAAAGCATTATAAGGAAGTAAAAAATAAAAGCACATAATATAAACATAAGTACCCCATTGAAATAGCAAACTTGATTAGCAAAAGACAGCTGCAGAAATATGTTTGCACACTTCATGACTTTTTGCACAATCTGAGTGATACTATCTTTGCCAAATGTGACATAGGCATTTCTCCATTGTGAGATCAATAACGTTTATCAGGCATTCAAAGTTTCTATACATCCAAGAGCCATTCTCCTATTCCCTCACACATTCACACGCACACACACGCACAATCACATACAAGTGTACGCAGACATTGGGGTTGAAAGGGCGTAAAGTGTCTTGCACAAGGACACACAGCAGCATACACCAATGAACCCTCACCTGCAAACCTGTGGGTCAATCAATCTAACCGCTCAACCCTCAGCTCAAAGGACACAAACTACCAACTGAGCTACAAACAGCCCCTACATGATACACAGCAAGAGCTAAGTATGATTATTTATCTTTTGACACCAAACCAAGGGTCGGCAACACGCAACAATACAAAATAAATACATCAAACACAATTCAAATGATACACCTATTATCTACTGTCCCCTGACATATGGCGTAAAAAGCAGAAAAATAGGCACAAACAGCCCAGTGTCTGGTCTTTCCATTGGCCTGTGCCTGTTAGTGAAGCGCCTGACAAAGCCTCAGAGCATCAGTAGTCCTGTCACAGTACCTGAACCCGCTTCAGAGGCCAATCAGAGTTCACCGGCAACAACAACACAACCGCGAACACGGTCACAAGAGACGCAGTGAGGCTCAGTGCCATCACGGAGCTGTACTCTTCTATGAAAAACAGCACTTTTGGAACATACTCCAGGCACAGGCGCTCCATACACCTACTAGGAACTACTGGATAATGAAATTCACACAGAAGAAATCTGCCAATTGGGCAGGGAAAGTTAAAAAGAAATGAAAATATGAACAATTTAAACAGATTTTCAAAGAGATTTAAGTTCAATAAACCAATAAAAAAGGGTACTCCACAGAAGAGTACATGTCAAAAGATAAACGCTTATCCAAGTCCTACAGTATATAGGCTTCGAGTGGCATCTAGGGTGGGTCAAATGCAGAGGACTCTTTCTCCATGGGGACAATTACATAAAAAGAAAAGAGATATAACTTAAATTATGATAAACTAAATTATATTATTTAAAAATGGTACAATATATTTTGGAGAACAAGAGTTAATACATGTTGTAGCTATTTTTGTGATATAATAACATTTATCAATCTGTTCAGGGTCAAATTAGTCACTTTTATGGCTGATTAATTTTGCTGGTTATCTGTTTCACCTCGTGGTCTTTATTCATGAGTCAATCAGATAAACAGTCCCGCTGTATTGAGTCAGTGGAATTAGATACTTTAGATTATTAGATTATAAATATGTGGCAGAATTATAGAAGAGTTCATTTACAAACCTTATATCTCTGTTTGGTTAAAAAATAAACAATATTCTTGTTATTGGCAGTTTATTTGAAAAGAATGTGCTCAAGAGGGGGTCAACCTTTATTATGAATGTGCTAAAATATATATCTAGTATCTATAGCAAGCTGTACATGTATTTTTCTAATGGCACTCATCGCATTGTCCAACCGTTTCTATTGTGACTGGCCATGTTTTGTCTTGTATGAAATTACAATCACTTGTTTTTGTTTTAGTCATTCCATGGCGAGACAGGAGGGTAATGATCAACAACATTTAAGGACATTCAGGGACATTCAGGGACATTCAGGGACATTCAGGGACATCTATTAACGTTTATGGACTTTGGTCTACCCGCCCCCCCATGGACCATTGGCTCCGATGTGTTTGTTATTAGATTTTTTGGCAAATGGAAAAATTTTTATAGCCCTCTGAGATGACTTCTGTTCTGATGTATAGCTTTAAAAAAAGGAATTGAATTGACTTTGTAGTTTCTAAAAGAAGCAAATTCTTCACCTTTGATAGTAATTAGTTTTTTTGTCCGGAGCTGTGTTTGGGTCCCTGCAAAACCGCTCTTGAAATTGAAATGCTAAAGAGGTGATAAAGTTCAAACTAAATCCGAGCGATCTGAATCCCGACAGCTTAGTTAACATGTCCACACTTTGTCTGGTCGCCTTCCTCTCTCTCTCGCCTCCACTCCTGCTCACTTTACTGCCCCAGCTGCCTGACCCCCCCCCATCCCATCCTCCCCCCTCCCCAGCACAAGGTAAGACGGTTAGGAGACTTCTGTGAAAACTGTGGTTGTCAGTGAAGTCTGAGTATTGTCTCCAGTGGTGGTTAACACTGCATACAGCACGGACAGACATCTCTGGTTTCACTGCACCGAGTGGGCACAGCTGCAGCCACCACTGAAAAAAAAATCTCCCCTTCTTGAGACAAATGTACTGTTGGACAAACAAGGGCCATGCTGTGTGGGTAAAACGCGCACAGTCACCGCAGAGGCTGGATTAGACATCATGGACACACTCTGTTAAAAGCAGAAGCCTATGGACGCCTCGCTGTCCGGACCGGCTGTGTGAAGTGAAGCAGACCCGGCAAAGGCTTCCCCGCTCTTAGCCCCAAGTCAAATAGTTTTTCACTGACTATCACTGAATCAGAGGAAAAATAACTCGAGTTTTGAATTGACATGATGAGAAGTGTTAATGCACATACAGTATATACTTCTAAAGGATAAGAGGATAAAGATCTGTGTGTTCTTTTGTGATTAAACCAAATGTTGTATTATTAAATATTGTATCAATGTGGACCTGCTCAAGGTTTCTCACATTTTCCTGCTGGGTTTGGAGTTTTTCCTTACCAATGCAGGAGGGTCTGTTAGAGCATTGTGAGGGTTTAACTAAAAGGGCAGTGGTGATGATCCAGGACACTCCACATTCAACAACATTTATGGACTTTTATCAACATTGACCAACATTGCTCATCTGCGCCTAATGGCTCTATGTGTTTTAGTTGTTTTCTTCATCATTGCATTTCTTGGCTTTGAACTGTTTGATTCTCTGATCTGTGTTGGCGAGTCGGTTTTATCAAGTCCTCCGAGATGACTAAACTGTTGTGATTTAGGGCTGTACAAAAAAAAAATCAATTGAATTGAAATGAATTGAATTTTATTATATTGTACTGACTAACCATATGACCAACATGAAGGAGTTTGCAGACCGGACTGGAGTTTGGTCTGTGTTGTGTGTTTGTGAATCTGTGAGATCCTATCGTTTTGAGGCCTGTAAGAAAGTAGCATTTGTGATTATGACAAAGATTGGTGTAACAGAATAGGTTCATTAAAATGGTGTCAAAGATTTCCTGGAATGTTGAAATCTATGAAAAGCTTTGATTTTCTTCATAAAAAGTGAAGTGAAAGGAACAGCTGTGCTTTTCCATCAAGTCAGAAAAACAACAGCTGAAAGTTTCACTTGCAGCTGACTCTGCAGCTCAGAGTGAATGTCCCAGAATGTTTCGAAATATTATGTAAAACTAGATTGTGATGACAGAAAACAACTTATTTAAACAGTTTTGATACTCGGGGAAAGAAAGCAATCATCCCTGTAACAGTATCATTTTAATCCCACATTCATTAAATCAGAGATTGTGTAGTTTTTCAAAATATGTTCATGATTTTCAGGAGTAATTAGCCAAAAGAGGTGAAACAGAGTAAAACATAAAGGCCAATAGGCATAAAGGCACAAAGATCTGTTTGATCTGCAGTGTATCACAGGTTAAACACAAACAAACTGTGGTACAAACAAAACTGCACAGAATTTGTTTCACTTTGAGTATTGAAAATTATAAGGAATCTAGATACATTTCATTTTGTCTAAAACAACCCAATCATGAAACGCAGTTTGTTGCTAAGACAGATTGATTGAGAGCAATTGATTTGTTCTACATGTTGTTTTACCAATATCTCATTCATTATTGTGACGAAAAGCCTGCAGTGGTCTGTTTGATTTGAAGGTGTTGTATTTAGTGATTTACACCTCGAGACTCATGGGACTCCACTGAGTAAGCTGGCAAATGTCACTTTCTGATGCCAGATTACAATCTATTTTTTATTTCCTCTTTGTTTAGGAATATGGTCACAATACTAAGACTTGTATGCAGTCCATAGATTCCTGTTCACAAATATAAATCCTTAAAAGAAAAAACACACAGTTCTGGTCAAAGTTTTGGATCATGTAAACGCTTTCTCATGATTCCCAAATTCCAGTGGCTCCCTGTCCTTTGTGGGGCACTGATGTTAATATTGATTCAAAATTGATGAATGTATGATGGGTATAAGATTTAGCTCTATTATAATTACAAACTACCAAATGAAAACACGGCTTTGTTAAGTGCAGTTGACATGGTTCAAATGTTCCCTACTTGTTTTATATGTACAGTAGAAACGTTCATTTGCAAATATCCGTTTTGAAAAGGTTGCATTCCTCTAGTTACAATCTTCAACATGTTATGTTATCAACAGTACTTTAATATTTAAACAATTTTCTGAATAAGGGTTGAAACTTTCTGACTTTTCAAAAAACTTCTTGGTAAAAGGGCAAATTGTAAGCCTTTCCAATATTTTTTTATGGCACAATCTGTTTCAGCAAATTAACTATATATTTGGTTCTGAGTGGCATTAACTCAACAAGATTAAAAACAGAACTTATGGTTTAGCCTTACACAGCTGGAGAAATAGACAATTCCACAAGAATTAAACTTTCACTCTCTTTATTGATAAGATAAGAGTTCCTTTATTCGTCCCACAGTGGGGCAAAAGTTCCCCAAAAATGACAATTCAGTTTGAAGCTTCTAAACTATTGAGGCGTTTGTGTAGTAGTAAAATCCCTTGGAGAAGAGTAAGATGGGAAAAAAGAAAAACAACAATTCACCTGTTTGATTGAAGAGTATTGGTCCTCCTCAGTGGCGCAGATCAATCTTTGGACCCTTGTTATGAATTATTCCGTGTGTTGACGTCTGAAGCAGAGCACGAAGAGCGTCCCTGTCTGTGCGCCATCTACTCTGCTGCCACTAAAGTTTCTCCAAAGAGCCACAACATCTCATCTGCCGACGTCAGCGGGATCTGGACCAATGGGAGAGCAGCTTCCATCTATCATCCAACACAGTCTGTGATCAAAACACGTGTGCTACTGGGCCTTATTTGTTTAATGTATAGTTCATATACAAAATAGAAGTGAAACATTTAAAAAAAATATTATAATAATTTTCGCTTCTGGTCATCATCGTGTGAGGAATGAATTATTGGCATAACATTGTATATCGCTTTGAGTGAACTTGTGATAAGAAAATGTAATATATAAATAAAGATTACTTACTTACTACTCGCGTTGTTGTTACTAAAAAATTAAAACTGCCTTGCAAGTTTATAAAACATGAACTAAAGTTGAAAAACCACACAAGATAGGATGCAAAAGCAAATCTGCAAATGACAGCGACCAGCCACTAGTTTATTTAGACTTTTATATAAGCGTCTCTTCTGTATGTTAGATAGTTGCAAAGAAATTGCAGTAACGACTCCAACCAAAACGTGTTATTTCTTTCGACTGTAAATATTAGTTTCTTCTTTTAACTCTACTGACATCTGCTGGAGGAACGGTGTAAGTGCAACTTCAAAATAAAACAAAAAACACCCCGAGCTACGAAAAAGATCTTTATCATCATAATGTACCTTATGTATATGTTTGATTTTAACACAGGTTTACAGCCATATACTCTCAGTGAGAATTGTAGAAGAAATACAACATGGTTTTATTGTGGAAAGATACACACAGAGAACAGGAAGTGGCTCGTGTTGTGTTTACAAACTGACAACGTTCTGTTATTGATCAGAACCTCGACAGCCTCTAAGCTGATGTTATGTAGTTTATTCATCACCTGTTTGTTTCTGAACAGTGAGATTTCTGGGATGGCGGGAGGACGACACGTGACATCATGACGGCGCTATCATTCCTAGCGTTAAGCTAATTAGTTTATTATAATGAAATCAGGCATCACTGTCAGCTTCTGCGCAAACTGAGGTACTTTTACGTTGTCTCAAATCATTAATTGACAATCATTACGATGACTTTGGTGTTGCACAATTAGACTTCTCCAAAATGCTGCTTCCTGAAGAGCTTCTGTTTCACATCAATATTTGAGATGAAAATGGCTAAAACTCCGCTGGAAAGCTGTACGCACAGAGAGTGGTGCGTATTACACGTCAGCACCTATGATAAACAACGGCTCTATTCATGTTATACACTGCAGAGGTAAAGCTGGAGTCTGATTTACGTTAAGCCATGGCTCTGAAATCCAGAAGACCGTGGACTACTCTGTTTTTTGGCATCTTCGTTGGGTTCACCGCGTCCTCTTGGCTCATTGTGCCTCAGGTGCTGGACAGTAAACGGAGGAAGTCCTCTGTGTGTTCTTACTATGGACATGTGTCTGTGGACAGAGCTGCAGGGGTGCAGGGGGACACAGACAACCCTCATATCACATCACAGGCAGAAAAGCTGGCCAACATGGACAGAAGCATTCACGACAACGAGACCATCAGTCGACCCAGAAGATTCCTCTACATCGGTGTAATGACTGCTAAAAAGTACCTGTCGTCTCGAGCAGTGGCTGCGTACAAAACATGGACACACTCCATTCCCGGGAAGGTGGAATTTTTCTCCAGCGCTGGCTCAGACACTGTCCCTGTACCTGTCCCTGTTCCTGTGGTCTCATTGGAAGGGGTGGACGACTCCTATCCCCCACAGAAGAAATCCTTTATGATGCTCAAATACATCCACGATCACTACCTGGACAAGTATGAGTGGTTCATGCGGGCTGATGATGATGTCTACATAAGAGGTGATTTCTCTGATTATAGTCCAATGAATGGAATCTAGATTGTTGTCAAACACTGTTATTCCTTTTTGCAGGTGAAAAGTTGGAGCTATTTCTCCGTTCTCTCAACAGCAGCAAACCACTGTACCTGGGTCAGACCGGCCTGGGCATGGCAGAGGAGTTGGGTAGGTTGGCGCTGGAGCCTGGGGAGAACTTTTGCATGGGAGGTCCCGGGATGATCTTCAGTCGAGAGGTGCTGCGCAGGATGGTCCCCCACATTGGCACTTGTCTCAGCGAAATGTATACCACCCATGAGGACGTGGAGGTGGGGCGCTGTGTGCGGCGATTCGGAGGGACCCAATGTGTGTGGTCTTATGAGGTATGTACCACAGATTCCGTAAACAGCATTGTTCATGTATATTTGGTATCATCATGTAACATTTCCTCAGATGCAGCAACTCTTCTATGAGAACTACGAGCATAAAAAAGGTTTCATTGAAGAACTCCACAGCCCAAAGATTCACAATGCTATCACACTCCACCCAAACAAACGACCGGCATATCAGTACCGACTCCACAACTTCATGTTGAGCCGAGAGATATCCAAACTTCGTTATCGCAGCATCCTGCTTCATCGTGAAGCACTGATCATGAGTCAAGTCAGTGACACACAGGTGTCCTGGGAGGACCAGCAGCTGGGTGCTCTACCTTCATACATGCGCTTCCAGCCCAACGATAGAAACGATGTGATTGAGTGGGACTTTCTGACGGGCCGACATATTTACTCTGCAGTAGAAAACAAGGTGGCGAGACAGAGCCTGGGAAATTCTTTTCGAACTGCATTAGAAGACATTATCATGCAAGTCATGGAAATGATTAATGAGAATTCAAAAACACGTGGCCGTGTTATTGACTTTAAAGAGGTTCAGTACGGTTATTACCGTGTGGACCCGATGCATGGTGCTGAATACATATTAGACCTACTGCTTTTGTATAAAAAGCATAAAGGACGTAAGATTACCGTGCCTGTGAGGAGGCATGCGTATCTGCAGCAGTCTTTTAGCCAACCATTCCTCACTGAGACAGAGGAGCTGGATGTGGATGACCTTGTGGCCGCCATTAACTCAGAGTCTCAGAGTTTTCTATCAAACTCTCTGAAGTTCTTTTCCTCATTTCAGTTCTATGAGCCGACCAAGGAGATGTTGGACCAAAGTCAGAAGAAAGTCCACATCCTTGTACCATTGTCAGGTCGCTATGAAATATTTGTACGCTTTATGGAAAACTTTGAAAAGATTTGCTTGATTCCGAAACAAAATGTAAAACTTTCTATCATCTTAGTTGAGAATGAAAGCAGCCTGGTGAAAGGGAAGCATGGTGAGTTAGTTGAGAACTACAGCCGAAAGTACCCGAGAGCAGACCTTAGTGTAATTCCCATGACTGGAAACTTCTCAAGAGGACTTGCTCTGGAGATCGGCTCTGCTCTGCTCGACAATGACACACTTCTTTTCTTCTGTGACGTTGATCTTTTATTTACTGCCGATGCCGTGCAGCGATGCAGAGACAACAGTATCCAAGGGGAACAGGTTTATTTCCCCATAGTCTTTAGTCAGTACAATCCAAAGATTGTCTATGCTGAAAACAATCCAAGAGATAACAAATTTGTATTCACTAAAAAGAGTGGATTCTGGCGGGATTATGGTTTTGGAATCACTTGCATTTTTAAAAGTGATTTGATAAAAGCTGGGAGTTTTGATACATCCATTTTAGGATGGGGCTTAGAGGATGTAGATCTATTTACTAAAATTATTAATTCTGGTTTAAAAGTCTTGCGAAGTCAAGAACCAGGGATTGTGCATATATATCACCCGGTCCACTGTAACTCCACCCTGGAACACAAGCAATTAAAAATGTGCCTTGGGTCCAGAGCAAGTACGTATGCATCCACGATGCAGCTCGCAGAGCTGTGGCTTGAAAAACACACAGAGGGTTTCAACAGGACGATATCCTGATGAGAGGGGTCCTTTACTGTCCGGTCAGTTTATCTCTGTTTGCTGTTAATGATACAGTGAATATTGGTTACATCACAGTTATGAGTTTAATGTTTTTCTTTCTTTTTAAATAACTAGAAATGAAAAATAATATCCCAATCCCTGATTTTATTGTTGGGTTCCTCCAAGATATTTCTGCAGCAGGCTTTTGATTACTTTAAACATGCTTTCTTGGTCAGGGCTTACTTTATGAAATTTTAGTTATGAGCAAACCCTCTGTGTTAAGTAAGAGGAACAGGCCAAAAGTGGTCATAAAGCTCAAATCATACATTTTATTATATTTTATCTGACTGTTCATTTTCAGACTTTTAAAAATCTCTTTGTGATCCTTGGCCAAATGATTCTCCCTTTACATTGTTTTAACAAACATCACGGGATCCCGAACTACCTCTTTTATTCCATACTGACTGGAATCAAATGAAAATGGACAAATTTACATTCAATCTCACACTTGCGCAGGAAACTATATATTGTTGTGTATATTTTGTATACTTGTGTTTTAAACTGCCTAACACAAATAAAAGCGTGATTTCGTTATAAGTTTCGTATTTATTCTTACAGTGGGTTTAAAACAATTAAATTATATGTTTTATACGTAGTTGCGTAAGTCGTAATTTTATTACTACACGTTTTTCCTGAGGACGCGAACGCGGCACGCAGAGAGACGCAGAGTAAACATGGCGGCGGGACAACAGTGGGTGTTGGTGGAAATGGTGCAGGCGTTTTATGAGGTAAATTCTTGTTTAATATACTCTTGTGTTAATATCTCTTGTGGCAGCTTTAGGCTGAACACGTGTTCCATACTTTTGGTCTCATTATCGCTAGAAGTTCGGTCCCGTGTATTTAGTGTCACCTGAGTTTCAGTCAGGAAGTAGCTTGTTAGTGATGGGGCGATGCGTTGTTTCACATGAGGAAAGTTTTCAGAAGGCCTTTTACTTCGTGTCAGCGTTAGTGAAACGGGCACAAGTACAATACTGAATGTAGCATGAAGTGGATTATTTAGCAGCCGAACAATCTAATCAAATATGTATGAGCAAGATCCGTACAATTCAAACCAGTGTCTTCATGTGAAAGCCAAAAAAAAATGTCCATCAACACAGGCTTCCGATTACGAGTAAAGTCATGTCTTGATAATTTGGAAAAGACAATACATTGTCTGTCAACACCCCTGAATAAACACACTGTATTTTAATTGTAAACAAAAAATGCAGATCCTGTGAGAAGTAACACCAGCGAACACAGCCCACACTTCTTTCCACATGCCATCAGCTCACACCCTATTACAACAGCCATTCTTCTCTAAACTAACGAGTGTTTTCCGCAGGCGCCTGCTTATCATCTGATTCTGGAAGGGATCCTCATACTGTGGATTATTAGGCTGCTCTTCTCCAAAACTTACAGGCTACATGAGACTTATAAACTGACAGAAAAGGTAGGTTATGCATATATCCGCATGCAATGAACAATATAAAGGTATTGACAAATCCCTTGTCACAGGAAAAAGAGGATCTGATCGAAGAATGGCAGCCAGAACCCCTCGTTCCTCCTGTTTCCAAAGACCACCCGTCAGTGAACTATGATGTTGTGACCGGGTAAAGCACCATGGCTTACTGACCATCACGCTCTGTACACGTTCATCTTAGCTAAACCTTTTCATTACAGACCTCCCAGTCACAAAATTGTAATCAATGGAAAAGAATGCATTAATTTTGCTTCTTTTAACTTCCTTGGTCTGCTTGATAATGATCGTGTCAAAGTGAGTTGCCTTTTACTTCCAATATATTTATGTATATTTTATTTCATAATAGTTTTTGTAAATTCAGCAAAAAGCTCTGGCTTCTTTAAAGAAATATGGAGTGGGTACCTGTGGTCCAAGAGGCTTCTATGGGACTTTTGGTGAGTTTAGAACTGGGTTTCTTCATTTGTTTTTATAGTTGAATTCAAATTAATGCCTGTATGAAAATATTTGTTTTAGGGTTTATATGTTGTCTTTCACAGTCACAACATAAAATAAAATGCAGTTTGTTTTGATAGATGTTCACCTTGAATTGGAAAGTCGTCTGGCCAAATTCATGAAAACTGAAGAGGCCATTATCTACTCTTATGGTTTTGCAACCATAGCAAGTGCAATACCGGCTTACTCCAAGAGGGGCGACATAATCTTTGTGTAAGTATTTTTTTTTGCACCAAAGCAGTGCACCACTCTCCACTGACTTGTGTTCTCAGGGATGAGGCTGCCTGCTTTGCCATCCAGAAAGGCCTTCAAGCTTCTCGTAGCTTCATCAAATACTTCAAGCATAACGATATGGAAGATCTGGAACGACTGCTAAGGGAGCAGGAACAGGAGGACCAGAAGGTAATGCGTCTGCAAGTGTTTATATTTGTCAAATTTCTCGTGTGACATTTTTTTTCTACGCTCTCATCAGAATCCCAGAAAGGCCAGAGTGACGCGAAAGTTCATTGTGGTCGAGGGATTGTACATAAACACCGCAGACGTCTGTCCTCTCCCGGAACTGGTCTGTAAAAGAAAACGTATTTTTTGTCACTTGTATTTGTAGTATTTATACATTTGACTTTCCTGATGATGCAGGTGAAATTAAAGTACCAATATAAAGTGCGGATCTTCCTGGAGGAGAGCATGTCTTTCGGGGTGTTGGGGGAACATGGTAGAGGAGTCACAGAGCATTTTGGAGTGAATGTGAGTTTATTTTTATTAGATACACAAATATGTAACCACACAAAGTTGCTCTTTCAGATGACTTAAGCTCCTGAATCAACAAACTAGTCTCAATACATAGGGCTTGATCCAGTTAACCAGCCTATCAAAGCATGCACACATTTGGCATCAATCCAACAGTAAACAGGCTCATTACTGTGATCGCTTAGATTTAGAATTTGTCACACCTGAACCACTGAACGATGCGTGTTTTTGACATTGTAGACTAATGAACGTTTCTGTAAATGTACCTGAAATGGCCATAAGTGTACTTTCGTTCTCCCTGGACAACATTTCAGTAACCTCAAAGTATTTACTGCTCTCTCTGGCTGCTTAACTATCCATACTGCAGCATTAGTTCTTCCAAACGCTTAAGGAAACAAAAAGGAGATTAGATTCATTGACGGCAAAATAAAGTTAGATTTTGGTGAAGGAACGTGGAGGTCGGTGCATCGATGGGTCTTGAATGTGAACTGCAATCTAGCCAGATGTGTGTCAAGCGCCCAGAAGGTAGAATAGACAAGAAAGAAACGTCAGGCTCTGCTGTCTTTTGTTAAAATCATGTTGAATGAACTTGGAGTGAGTTTAGGGTCATGTGTGGGTCCGCCAAAGCTTAGGGAGCAGCTTGAGTGACAACCTCTCCTACATTTATTATCCATACTGCAGCCATAGACTCTACGTAGGAATGTGCACTGGTAACCCCTTTATGAAGCCTAATAAAAGGCTCATGGGTGAAGTTTGGCTTCTACGCCCGTTGGCTTCATACACTTGTTATAATCTCTTTTTTTGGTCTCAAAAATCTGTGGTTTAACGCTTTTTCTAGGATGAATATACTGTAGGTTCTCAGGTCCATCTACTGTTGGGGAATGTCTGTGTTGCATCATGTTGTCTACTACTGCTACTACTGTACATGTAGCAGCAGCATAAGAATATGGGCATAATAAGTAAACAAGTAATCTTGAATATGTAAATGAGTTCACTCTAAATTAGCAGAATAAATAAAGTAAAATGTCAGTGGACACATCGCAGTACCATACTCTTACATTACTTCAGTATTGCTACAGATGTACAGGGTCAGGGGTGCTCGTCAGACTGGGGCAGAGAGGAACATTTTGGAGTAAAACTGAATATGAACTTTCTCTATGGAACTGATTTAGCAGCTGCTCTAGATCAGGGCTCAGGAGTGGGGCTCGAGGGAAGAAGGCGGAGCTATCGCCTTTCAGGTGGAAGTGATTACAGAAACCCCCTTTTGTTCTTTTAGATTAAATGCTGAAGAGACGTTGAAAATTCCAATGTTTGACAGCATAGTGGTACAAATGCTTTATAACACAGAAAGCATGTGTGTTTATAAAGCATTGTATTTTGAGAATAATCGTATCAGTCACATTATTTCAGTTTATTATATGTACAAAAGTAATTCACAGATGAACAAAAAAGGAAATCAACCTGGGCTTGAACGATCTCAAACTCAACCTCAACCTCAGGAACACCAGTGTAGCTGCATAATGCTGTAATACCGACTCTGGGCACCAGCAGGAGGCCAGTCCCTGTGCTCCTCTGAGTTGGTTCAGGCACTAACATGTCATGGATGTACTTCGGCAATGGACAGACTTGCTCTCAAGTTTTTGTCTGAGCCACAGGAAGCCAGTGCAGAGACCTGGGACTAGGATTAACATCACCATCTTGGTTTGTGTTTTGCACGACAGGCCTTGGATAAGGGTTTGTCACATGTAGGTGAGCTCACCGAAAGATTGGCCCATGTCAATCATAGAGAAGACGGTTGCGGCTTTGATTTCTACACGAACCTGGACTTTATTGTGTGGAAAATAAAGTTTCCAATTATGTTTTATAGATTGATGACATTGATCTGATCAGTGCAAACATGGAGAACGCCGTTGCCTCCATTGGTGGGTTCTGCTGTGGCCGTTCTTTTGTCATTGACCACCAGGTAAACAAGACTCTTTTAAACATGTTCTAATGTAAAGCTCTAGTTTACAAAAGGTTTTTTCCCCGTCTGCAGCGTCTGTCTGGTCAAGGATACTGTTTCTCTGCCTCACTGCCTCCGATGCTAGCAGCCGCAGCCATTGAGGCTCTAAATATAATGGAAGAGGATCCAGGCAAATATATTTTATGTTTTTGTAATATTTAGATGAATATGTTTGTTTTGTGTTTTGATGCAATTTGTGTTTTGTGCCGAGCAGATATCTTCTCTGTCCTGAAAGAAAAGTGCAAGCATGTTTATCACGCTTTACAGGAGTAAGTACATCAATTACATCATCTTTTCTTTTTTGAGCCAAGTCCATGTTGTTGATCTGTGTGTTTGTGGCAGTATTCCTGGCCTGAAGTTAGTGGGGGTGCCTATTGCTCCTGCCCTTCACTTGCAGCTTGAAAGAACTACAGGCTCCAGAGACACTGATATGCAGCAGCTTCGCAGCATTGTAGAATATGTATGAAACTATTCCTCTATCATACTATCTCAGGAACTTGTTTTGTAATGTTTTTGTATTTTCCTGTTTGATAGTGCATTCAGCAAAATGTAGCTCTGACTCTTGCTCGGTATCTGGAGAAGGAGGAGCGTTTTCTGCCTGCTCCCAGGTAATTTGTCTCATGGTTAGGCACAGAAAATGTGTCAAAATGCTGCAAATGTAAATGTGTGGGTTTGATTTCAGCATCAGGGTGGTGATCACTGTTGAGCAGACTGAGGAGGACGTCCAAAAGGTTGTGTCTTGTCTCAAAGAGGCAGTTTCCACTCTCCTCAAATGAATGCGGGTGTTGTGCCTGTGGCAGTAGGACGTCACTGTGATGAGGACAAGCTCTGTTCACTAGATGCTCTGAGCAGCTCTTTTTCATGAAGTTTGTTTGTCTTAAAGATCCTTTTCAAATTCGTTTTATCATGTGTTACTGTTATCCTAATATTTACAAGATTTTGCTAAAAGTAATAAAAGCAGTGAAACACATTTCACAAATAGTTAACCAAAGAAATCTTATTTATCAACTTGTTTTCTACACTGGTGTCTTTTGTTATGTTTGTAATAATATTATGACCAATATCCTTTTTTGATAAATATAAGACTGATTTGAAAAATGACTTGATCCACTTTTTTCCAAACGGATGTTCCTCACTTGTTGCCAAGAATAGTTTATTTCGGTATTGGGGTTTAAACCCTCACACTATCCTTTTCGGTCGCTATGTCCCATGGCTCTTTCGGGTTGATAACAAACAAAAAGGTTCATTTCAGCTTCATTAGATAATTACGGTTTTTTTTTTTTTTCTTGTACTTTTAATCACTGCCTGGGTATTTTGACTCCAGGACAGCACAATAGTTTTTAAACCCCAGTGGAACAGACACCCAACTTTCTTAAATTATTGTATGACAAAAATAAATAGTTATGTTTTATAAATCTCTTTATATAACTACTTTTGTAACTTGCTGAAATGTACTTGTGCATCCTCTCTCTCTTAGACCTGAGGGTTTCATGAATCTGAATCAGGTCTTGTCATGTTTCTCATTCAAAATGCCCCATGTTTAATCTCTGAGATGTTTGATAACAATAATTCCATAATTCCATTCACTCATATTTCGTCATTTGCTCTACTCTGATTACTAGATTGCAAATAGACTACTTTACTTAGTAAACAGTAATACAGAGCCAGTGAGACGAACTTACAATGTATTCTAATTAAAGTAACCACCCAACTCTAGTTCGAAGAGGACCACTTGGTCCAAGACACTAGTTTGAATTCTACTGTTGCGTGTGTTTACCAGCAGAGGGCGCCGTACAGCAGTATTTGAGCCGCTCGAGCGAGAGCGCGCGTGTGCCCTGGTCACAGTCTGGTCTCGGTTTGGTCTCAGTCTGGTCTGAGGCCACAGAGGATCAGAGCTTCATCTCCGCTGGACTCTTACCTTCACGGGATGAAGGCGCCTTTGTCCACATCTTCCATCTCGTGTCTGTGCCGCACAGCCCGCAGCTGCTCCTCCTCCTGACCACAGCCTGAGTTCCAAACGGAGGACATGGACCGGAGCCGGTGTTACGTCGAGCCGCGTTTCCCCGTCAGATACTGTTTCCCCTGCGTCTACTCGCCGCTCCGCCCCGCTCCGCGCCTCGCACGCGGCAAATAGTGCGCGTGCTTGTTCAGCACTCGTAACCAGCGAGCCGTGCTTGCGCGGCGAGGCAACTACAGACACAGTGAAAGCACCTGAGTGAAGTTGGCCCCTACCCCACGCAAAACTCAGTGAAAAATAGCCACACTCGTTAGTGCTGGTTTGTGCAGAAAAAATATCGTTTGTGCTGTTTTGGTTTTTCAGGTATGACAACTTTATATTAATATAGCCTATATATATATATATATAATATGATATGACAAATAAATAAATATGTATGTATGTATGTATGTAATATATGTATGTATGTATGTATATATATATATATATATATATATATATATATATATATATATATATATATATATATATATATATATATATATAGCCTATATATATATATATATAGATATATATATTCACAAATATATATATATAAATACATTTATCTATCATGTGTATATATACATGTATTCCCTCAGTGTTAAACAGGGGAAACGCGTCCTTATGGCCAAATTACCCCCGTCAGATACCGTTCCCCCTGTGTTAAACGGGGGAAACGCATCCTGATGGCCAAATAACCCCCGTCAGATACCGTTCCCTCAGTTTTAAACGGGGGAAACGGTATCTGATGGCCAAATAACCCCCGTCAGATACCGTTCCCCCTCTGTTAAACGGGGGAAACGCATCCTGATGGCCAAATAACACCCGTCAGATACCGTTCCCTCAGTTTTAAACGGGGGAAACGGTATCTGATGGCCAAATAACCCCCGTCAGATACCGTTCCCCCTGTGTTAAACGGGGGAAACACATCCTGATGGCCAAATAACCCCCATCAAATACCGTTCCCTCAGTTTTAAACAGGGGAAACGCATCCTGATGGCCAAATAACCCCCGTCAGATACCGTTCCCTCAGTTTTAAACGGGGGAAACGGTATCTGACGGCCAAATTACCCCCGTCAGATACCGTTCCCCCTGTGTTATTTTTTAAAACTGGACACAAAAAACACAACCTCGAATCAAAATGCACATTTTTCAAAACACAATTTTCAATTTTACAATGGCTTACTTCTTGCCACTCTTCCATAAAGGCCAGAGTTGTGCAGTATACGACTGATTGTTGTCCTGTGGACAGAGTCTCCCACCTCAGCTGTACATTTCTGCAGTTCATTTAGAGTGATCATGGGCCTCTTGGCAGCATCTCTGATCAGTTTTATCCTTGTATGAGCTGAAAGTTTAGAGGAAAGGCCGGGTCTTTGTAGATTTGCAGTGGTCTGATACTCCTTCCATTTCAATATTATCGCTTGCACGGTGCTCCTTGGGATGTTTAAAGCTTGGGAAATCTTTTTGTATCCAAATCCGGCTTTAAACTTCTCCACAACAGTATCTGGGACCTGCCTGGTGTGTTCCTTGTTCTTCATGATGCTCTCTGCGCTTTAAACTGAACTCTGAGACTATCACAGAGCAGGTGCATTTATACGGAGACTTGATTACACACAGGTACATTCTATTTATCATCTTCAGTCATTTAGGACAACATTTGATCATTCAGAGATCCTCACTGAACTTTTGGAGAGAGTTTGCTGCACTGAAAGTAAAGGGGCTGAATAATTTTGCACGCCCAATTTTCAGTTCTTTATTTGTTAAAAATGTTTGAAATATCCAATAAATTTCGTTTCACTTCATGATTGTGTCCCACTTGTTGTTGATTCTTCACAAAAAATTACAGTTTGAAGTTTTAATTAATGTTTGAAGCCTGAAATGTGGCAAAAGGTTGAAAAGTTCAAGGGGGCCGAATACTTTCGCTAGGCACTGTATCTGTAGCTAAGTAGCCAGGGCACATGATCACTCAGAGGCATAGTGGCAGGACCATCAACTGTCACATGAGCATTGCACCTGCTTGCTCTCAGTCTATCTGTAGCAAACACCCAACCCAACGAAGTGATTACAGCCTGTAAGAGTGCAGGCCTACTGTACTGCTTGAGAAAGTATTTGGAAAATACTATGTATGTAAAGCACTACATAAACACATTGTTTGCTGTAAATTGACAACCTATACCCTTTACAGTTCACTGTGAAGACTTACTCTATCAAGACCAGGGAAACCAGAAGAATATGTAGGTTACTGCTAATTACCGTAACATCCTGTTCTTCCTGTGAGTGGTACTGTCACTTTACAACAGTGGAGGACTTTACTGTGGAAAAAATGTGTCTTTACATTACTCTGATTGTTTTTCCCATTCATTTCAATAGATTGAGGTGTTATCAAATAGCAGAAAGATGAATTTAATGGATGAACCAATGGTCCTCCAATATTAAAGGTGTGAAACTCAGTTTTTTTGTAAAAATGGCACTTTGATGTTTAGATGTATCCTATTGAAAGGTTGATCAAAGTCAAATGATCCAGTGATCTTTGCATTGTTAGTGTTGTATCCAAGCAATTGAAAATTGTGTTTTGAAAAATGTGCATTTTGATTCGAGGTTGTGTTTTTTGTGTCCAGTTTTAAAAAATAACACAGGGGGAACGGTATCTGACGGGGGTTATTTGGCCATCAGGATGCGTTTCCCCTGTTTAAAACTGAGGGAACGGTATTTGATGGGGGTAATTTGGCCGTCAGATACCGTTTCCCCTGTTTAAAACTGAGGGAACGGTATCTGACGGGGGTTATTTGGCCATCAGGATGCGTTTCCCCTGTTTAAAACTGAGGGAACGGTATTTGATGGGGGTTATTTGGCCATCAGGATGTGTTTCCCCTGTTTAAAACTGAGGGAACGGTATTTGATGGGGGTTATTTGGCCATCAGGATGTGTTTCCCCCGTTTAACACAGGGGGAACGGCATCTGACGGGGGTTATTTGGCCATCAGGATGCGTTTCCCCTGTTTAAAACTGAGGGAACGGTATTTGATGGGGGTTATTTGGCCATCAGGATGTGTTTCCCCCGTTTAACACAGGGGGAACGGTATCTGACGGGGGTTATTTGGCCATCAGATACCGTTTCCCCCGTTTAAAACTGAGGGAACGGTATCTGACGGGGGTTATTTGGCCATCAGATACCGTTTCCCCCGTTTAAAACTGAGGGAACGGTATCTGACGGGTGTTATTTGGCCATCAGGATGCGTTTCCCCCGTTTAACAGAGGGGGAACGGTATCTGACGGGGGTTATTTGGCCATCAGATACCGTTTCCCCCGTTTAAAACTGAGGGAACGGTATCTGACGGGGGTTATTTGGCCATCAGGATGCGTTTCCCCCGTTTAAACACAGGGGGAACGGTATCTGACGGGGGTAATTTGGCCATAAGGACGCGTTTCCCCTGTTTAACACTGAGGGAATACATGTATATATACACATGATAGATAAATGTATTTATATATATATATAGGCTATATATATATATATATATATATATATATAGGCTATATATATATATATATATATAGGCTATATATATATATATATATATATATATATATATAGGCTATATATATATATATATATATATATATATATATATATATAGCCTATATATATATATAAATACATTTATCTATCATGTGTATATATACATACATACATACATACATACATACATACATACATACATACATACATACATACATATTTATTTATTTATTTGTCATATCATATTATATATATATATAGGCTATATTAATATAAAGTTGTCATACCTGAAAAACCAAAACAGCACAAACGATATTTTTTCTGCACAAACCAGCACTAACGAGTGTGGCTATTTTTCACTGAGTTTTGCGTGGGGTAGGGGCCAACTTCACTCAGGTGCTTTCACTGTGTCTGTAGTTGCCTCGCCGCGCAAGCACGGCTCGCTGGTTACGAGTGCTGAACAAGCACGCGCACTATTTGCCGCGTGCGAGGCGCGGAGCGGGGCGGAGCGGCGAGTAGACGCAGGGGAAACAGTATCTGACGGGGAAACGCGGCTCGACGTAACACCGGGACTGAAGCAGAGGGTCTCCGCAGAGGGTCTCCGCAGAGGGACGCGTACACTGGACGTGACAAGTTTCACTCATTCACGGGGATTTAGTAACGCGCTGTGTTCCTCCGCTATGACCACGTTTACCAGGACACTATTGTGGATATTCACGTTGCCTCTGGTGCAGATGTGCCGCGGTAAGTTTACTCCAGAAACTAAACTGATGCTGACGGTTTTGGTCAAGGGATGCTCAGGCCAAACATCTATGTCTGAATTCACATTGACTTTTAGAAAGAAAGATATGCGAGAAACTTTTTAAGAAGGGTGCAGTGGCTACATAGTTAGGTAGACTTTAAAAAGTTGTGATAACTGTAGTAATATCATCTGAATAAATGGCTGATAGACACATGAGCTTTACTTGTTTTTGTTGTCAGTTAATTTTAAAATGTCTTCTTTGAGTTTTGGTAAAATGGAGGTAGCTGCGTGTTTGGGGCGGGGGTCCCCTCCTACAGGTTTAAGTCCCACTTAAACCTTTGTCCTCTCAGCGCTTGTTGACTTGTGTCCCTTTGCAGCACGTAGGCTTGATAAAAGGTGCTTGTGTCGGAGCCAAAGGGCCACTGTGTCGTTGTCATGTTAATTGGACGCATAGCTTGAGGTGATCTCGCATCTTTGTCAGTCATGCTAATTCATTTACTCCCTCTGCGGGGGGTGCGCACTGCTGAGATTTCCTGTTTTGTGCCTCGAGAGCAGGACTTGCCATTTGGTATGAAGTGAAAGGAGCAGGGGGTAGGGCTCTGGGGGCTAATCATTAGCACCTTTTACCCCCTGCATGTTCACTATGACATCACTGATGTGGCAACACTGGCCTATAAAGTCAAGAACAGTCAACAGTCTTGGAACACAAAAATAACAGAGTGAATATAGACACTTTTCTTTTCCAGTGGGATGACTATATTCCGTAACATGTTGTCTTTTCGCTCTTGTTTTCTGAGGGGGCACATTTGCTCATTAGAGGCCTTCAGACTCTGCTGTAAATAAACTGGAGCCAGCACACAGCACAGTTCTTTGAGTGGCCTGAATGGGCTTGGTGAGCAGCAGGGGGTTTGTCCATGGGCCTCAGCCATTCTGAAGTTACACATGAACTAAAAAAGCACCCACTGATAAGAGAAGGTTTTTAAACTAGATTGTATCTGAAAGTACTTAAACGTTTTTAGACTTTTGATGGAAGTAAATCACAACGCAAACAAATACAAAACATTGGAGATTTGGGGACTTTTATTGTTTCATGTTGTCTGTTTCTAGTGTGTTCTGTCTTGTCTATTCACTTGTATATTGTAAATAGTAACTGTAACTCTATTTCAAATTTAAATTTATTCTTTAGAAGTGTTTTTTATTCTTATTTTTATTATCTCTTTTCGACTGTTGCACTGAGCCAAGCAATTCCAGTCTGTACTCCGTTACTTACGTGGCAATAAAATGATTCGATTCGATTCGATCTGATCTGATCTATTCTGTTCTGATACAGTCGTATAAAGCTATCTATCAACTGGGCTCATAACCTCACATTTTCAGGAAGACTGTTCCATGTTGAAGCTGTAGACATTTGCCTTGGGCCCCATGGTGCTCCAGCAGGAGTCTGGTCCCTCATTTGGCACAGATGTGAAGGAAGCCAGAGCAGAGACCAGAGGTTGAATGTGAGAGGACTTCCTGCTTTATAGCTTTAAACATAGTAAAGCTGTGATTTGACCTGGCTCTTTATGAAGTCTCCACAAAGTCCAGAAAGTGACTCACTGATGCTTTAAGTTTGTGTCGACAGTAATGTAAATAATTCGAAATTCACATTTGTATTTTGTTATTGCTTTATGTGTTTGATTACACAGCCCGTATGGTGTTGAAATCATTAACATGTACTAATGTCTTTACTTGATCTCTGAGAAGTACATGTTAATGATTTCAGACCATCACAGATTATTTAGCTCAGTGTTGAATGTGGGATTAAGGAAGTTGATTTTGTTTAACTGATTGTAACCAGGATTGCTGTAACTATGGAGTAGCTCTATCTTCATCTTAAAGCCTTTGAGTGCAGACAGAGTTGAGAGCCATCTTACAACCATCTGGAGATAAGCTCCAGCAGACGCCTTTCATGTTCCCCAAGCATGGTCAAAGGTGAGGGTTTGTCTTGTCAGTACTTTCCCACATGTTGTCTTGGTGGTCTGGAGGTGAGCTGACCACTCAGTGACCCTCAACACTGGCATGAGAACTTTATCAGCCCCACTGCAAGCAACACATTTAAACAGTTTAAATTGGATTTTCTGCTTCAACCGAAAAGCAAGCAAGTTTATTTGCATAGCACAATTAAATGCATATGGTATGAAACAAGTCAGTGCATGAGTTTGAAACTATAATTAATGGTGTCCTTCATATAGAAAGGTTACACTTACACTAGAAAAAAACTGCAATAAGCGAAATCCGTGAAGTAGCATTTATCTGTTTTAAGGATGTAAAACCCTGAACACACAACTGCTGAAGATCGCGGAGATATCAAACCTGAGAGCTGCTGCAGCTGTCAAAAGCCGTACATACACTGTAAAATACAGCTGCAGAGGACACTGTGCTGAAGGGCCGGAGCAGGACTCAGGGCTACGGGAAGACCGCTGTAGTCCTCTGAACTAAACACAAGCCTCAAAAGTTTTTGTCTGACTTTAAATAAAGGCAACTGTTACTCACAGCTGTATGATGATGAGGATTATGATGATGATGATGATGATGATGATGATGATGGGCGGCACGGTGGCTGAGTGGATAGCACTCTCGCCTCTCAGCAAGAAGGTCCTGGGTTCGAATCCCGGTCGGACCAGGGCCTTTCTGAGTGGAGTTTGCATGTTCTCCCCGTGTCTGCGTAGGTTTCCTCCGGGTACTCCGGTTTCCCCTACCACTAAAAATATGTCCAATAGGTCTGGCATGCGCCTCCTGTTCGGCGACCCCGCTCCTGTCTCTGTGTGGAGTGAGAGATAAATGCCCAAAAATTAACAATTGTAAACCGCTTTGAGACTCAGATCTGCAGTGAAAAGGCGATATATAAATAAAAACTTACTTTTTACTTGTGATGATAATGGATGATGGATGATGATGTGCATTTGCAGCGCATGAGAAGCATGTAAAACATGAAGGCTTTTGGCCTTCGGACCGGCACAGTGGCTCAGCGGTTAGTGCTTGTGCTTCACAGCAAGGAGGTCCTGGGTTCAATCCCACCTCCACAGGCCTTTCTGAATGAAGTTTGCATGTTCTCCCAGTATCTGCATAATTTTTCTCCGGGTGCTCCGGTTTCCACTTCCACTAAATAACATGTGCAATAGTTGAGGGTGAATGAGTGTGTGTTTGTGAGAGTGACTGTAGAAAAAGAAATACAAATTAGCCCAAGGCTACAATCCAGAGAGGAGTTTTCATTGACATGCACTGTCCCAACCAATTAAATAAATCTTAACTTATTGTTTAGATATACAGTATATATATGAATGTGTGTGTTGCTATAAATGTGATCATTTGATTTACTTACTATCAATCCATCTCTGACTTCCCACAATGTAACTTTGACCATTTCCTAAACAGCTCAGGGACCGTCTTGAGTCATTCGTCATTCGTGTTGGAAGAATTTAAACGTTTACAATCTGGACCTGACTGATTCCTTGACCCCCAACGCAGGCCTCTCCTGGTCGGCTCTGTTTTCTCACACTTTGTCAGCTTAATGATCACAGCGCCCTCTCTTAAGTACGCAGCCACAGAAAGGACCCCCAAAGACCAGAATAAAAGCCTAAGCCTACAACTAACAAGGCGCATGGGGGATTGAAGTCTTGTTTGTTTACATGATGTGACAAAACAGAGGAATGGTTATCAGGAAGTGCAGCGGTGTATGGTGCTGTGTTCCAGGTCTGGATCTCATTATTCTGCAGAGGGGTCTGGGACAAATTATCCCCCGACAGGACATTCCCATGGACAGAACTGTGGAGAGACTGGTGGTGGACTTTTGTATGTGAGACATTGGTGCATATGTTTCATATATGCCTTAAATGTCCAAACAAAGAGTGAACCTCAAAGCCAACTCTGATGAAGGACTATGTACTCTCAGCATTTAAAGCTGGGATACCTACAGTAACTTTTTTGCTTCATAAATAATGTTTGTTTCTTGCCCCATAAAGAATCACGTACAAGCAATACTCTGGGAAACAAATGACAACATCATAATGTCCTGTTTTTGTCTTAATGTTAATAGAAATATTTTATTTAGTGAACACCTGTCAAAAATGAATGTAGAAAGCGCGAATTAAAAACAATCTTTGAAAAACATTTGTCATTAAATCAGTAAAAATATTAAATTGGAGGAAGCCAAATGCAAGGCCAACTTCCAACAAAATGGCATTAAATGATTGTGCATTAAATGTGGCCACTTTGATAAGATCCATTTCTTCATCTTTCCCTGGTTTAGACGTTTCAGGGCATAAACAGGAAAGTTTCTAATAAAAAACTTTTTTTGGAGAAAAAAAGAAGAACCCGAAGACAATCTTTAGCAACAACCTGGTGTATTCACGGCCCCTGCTGTTTATGGATACACACTGTGCCTAAGACAATGGATTAACTAAATAAATTCGTCTGATTTTCCAGTTTTTTGGATTGGCAATTTGTATCGGTTGCACTATGACCAAAATATATGCTAAAACACGTACTTATCATCTCGACAAGTTGCGCTTATGTCTATTGTGCACTGTGTATGTGAGAGCCTGATTCTGTCAAACCTTTGAAACTAAGCTGTTAACTGGGTAAACTATTGTTGTGTCCTTAGGCAAGACATATGATTGGTTTGAGTCTGGTGTGTGTGGGAATGTTTGGTGGTGGTTGGTTTGCACACTTGGCACAATATGGCCAATATAGATTGGATGTTTAACCTCAAGATTGATCGGGTGTTAACTAACCTACTGATTGATTATATTTAAAGTGGAATTACTTTGTAATAAAACAAGATGGCTGTGTTTTAAGTAAGTAATCTTTATTTATATACCGACTTTCACAGACCAGAGTCACAAAGCGGTTTACAATTGTTATTATTTTGTTATTATTTTTATTGTCATAAAATACAACCGTGATGGTGGTGTCCACTTTTAAAAGTCTTTGTTTAAAAATTCTTAAATTCGACTTATCAAAA